GTAGAAACGTCTGCCCTTCGCAGGCTACCTACAAGGTAGTCATAAGAAATTTGTACCAGCAGTATCCAACCATGGTTTCTTTTTTCTTGAACAGCTGAGGAACCAACCTAGAGGGAACCAAACAATCAGTAATTCTACAGGACCTTTAAAGAATGGTTTGAAAAGGATTAATTCCATGGAGGAAAAGAAAAGCCAAAATACCAGCAAACCAGTGACTGTGCTGAGAATAAAAGAGAGTGATCTAAGAATGTCATTTCAAAACTTGCGTGAAGACTTTGCTCCAAGAGAAGAAGTTGTTAAAGAGCAACATGTTTTGGTAGATCACAACCGGTGTTCATCCACTAGTGATGAAAAATTGCCAGTGTCGACCCAAAAGAGAGTATCTGTTGGTTTTGGCGATGAGAGCTTCAGGACCACTCCTGTCAATAAGACCTTGAGTGACTCAAACCTTTGCCAAATGGATCTGATTGCTAAAAAGCTTCAAAGTGAGAAACTTTCTTCACCTCCATGCAGTGCAGTAGATACTAAATTAAGAGCCCCTTTTGAAGATATATCCAGCGTTGGAAGACAACAGGATATGAATGTGGGTGCTGAAACAAATCCTTCGACCCCACTTTCTTATCTTTCACAGGGCATGTTGTGGAACGCAGCGTCATCTCCATGCAGCAGTGATGGCAGTGATGATGTTTTTACTGGCACAGTTGGAAGGACAAAATCATTCCGGCACCAGTGAGGTGACTTCAAAAAAAGCACGCGACCCTTCAAAGTGACTCTTCATTGCCCTCAACTACTAAAAAGTCTGGAGAATTATTTGGATTCCAAAAAAAAGTAACTGGAAGGTTGAACCTACAGTGCAGTCAAACAATTGAGTTGGTGACATATGATGCAAAAGATCAGCTAAAAGTGACTCCTGCTCATTTCAGGTTGCGATGGTGTATCTGATAATAATTCAAACAGCCCGATTGTTGCTGAAGTGGATGGCACCAATACATGTAGAACCTCAAGTGAATGGGAAGTTGGAGGGATCAAAAGTTAATGCTAATGAAGAGTACAGAAAGAGTAAGCTTGCACAAAACTGCTGATAAAGGTGACCTAGCACCACCACACACTACACAGAATGGACAGCTCTAAAAGCATCAATTGGTGATGAAACACTTGAAGGTGCCAAAGGTGTTAGCTTACATAATGAAGACAGCTGGAGAGAAAGACCATCAGAGAATAAGACACAACTACAAAACACAACTAACGTCAATGATACATGTACATCCAAAAGAAAATTGGAGAGAGAGTTGTAGAAAGGTTTCAAGTTCAGCAGACTTTTTGGGGAAGTGGCTCAGGTAACGAGAACTGGCGTTTTAATAAATCAGTGAGTGTTGATGAGACAACAAAGGATACAACCCTTCATCAAGTGAGCATTCTAAAAGATACAGCATTGGTGACATTAAGTTTGAACGTCAGGATTCAGATGAGAAAGGTTTGTTGATTTAGAAAGAAAGTGTACTTTTACTGCACTTATACATGTACAGTGTATGTACAGTCATTTATTTATTCATTAACTTCCTCAGCCACAACCTTCTCTGCTCAGTGGACCTGCACCTTGTTATTTAATCATTAAGTTCATTGTTTGGGTCTTGCTGACACAGCTCCTTTTTGTTGAGACAAAGATACAGTCCAGCCCCCTTGTAAGCAAACCACCCAAAATGCAAAGACTGAGTGGTCGCTTATGGGAGGTGCCCGTTTATTAGAATCGAACCACGTGGCGCCTCTTCTGAGAGTAGGCGCAAGCACATGTACTTGTGTAGTGACGGTGCCACTAGTCTGGTCTTAATTTTATTATTAAATACCTGCTCATGTTCTGTAGAGTCAACGAATACCAGGTCCATCAATTAAAGGTGAAAAAAAAACTCTTTGTGCTCACCTTTGCTACTGAACCGGTTAAAAAACGTACAGTAAAATCAGTACTTTTAAGTCTGAAAGATAAGAGGAGTTGAATCATTTTTTAATTCAAGCAGTGCAAACCCAAGTTTGAAATAAACATCAAAGGGATATAGTTGAAAAAAAAAAGATTAGGTGTATGGTACTGGTACCTACATGTAGCTACTCTGTACTGTCAGATTCTCAGTATACATGTACAATATGTGTGTATGATTACAGTGTAGGTCAAAATGAAACTCAGGTTTAAAAATTGTTTCATTCTCAATTTCCTTGTCCCCAGCCCTAACTTTTCATTATCATGAATAGCAAGGGTTGAGAAACAAAGAAAACTGAGAATAAGACCAGCCTAAGGGTGAGATTGTGAAAGCCTGAAATTACTTGCTATACTCAATTGTGAAGCCGCCTATGTTTACATCCTAGCTGTCTACTTTAAATCTCCATGAGAACATTGTGTGGATACAGTATCTGTTTTTCTTTTTATATAGTTAAAAGAACCAGAGGAGGGTTTGGGCTTCCTATACAGGCTTCCCATGATAGCAAGGAAACTTTAAGGTAATATTATATATCACTCTCCAGAGGGCTCAAAATTGCAACCTATTATAGTAACATTTTTAACTTAATGTTCTGCTGGTGATTTACATGTAATCTTTCGGAAAAGTCTTTGAAAGAACTTTGTCATGGTACAAATTTTAAGTGTTTTGCATGCTGTAAAAGAATTGGGATGAGGATGCTTTTAACTTTTTTACGTATTTCTCGCTGATTAATTGTATGTGTCAGACTTTCACAAAAACTGCAAAGCAAATTGCAAAGCTAACCTGAAAATTACCCCTATTTTGCAGGCAAAAAACTTGTTTCAATGTCAAAGCATTAACTAGATTTGGGGAATAAAAATATTATTCAGCCCTTCCGTTTATACATTTTTCTTGAAAGGGTTTGCAGTGATAGCAGCTTGAAAATAGGCCCAAGTAACTTCTATGTTAAACTGCTAAAAGGTTAATTGCTTTATTTTTGCCATTGTAGTGAGGAAAATCTTGTGGCATCTGAATCAGAACTTCTTGAAATTCAAATTAGTGAAGAGGAAAACCAAGGTGGGTTATTTGATACACTGTGAATCTGTCAGATGCCCTATCTAATGCAACTTTACTACTAATAAATTGTTTTAAAATAATTTTTGTTTGTTTTTTGTATACTTGAGTATCAGAGCAAAGAGATCATAATTTTTTTTTTCTCTCAGCTCTTCACTGGAGGAAAGTGAAAGATATCCAGGTATTTTAATTCTTCCTCAAAGTATACACAGTTTTGTGGTACAAAATTCTAACCACAAAATTAATGATGATAAATGTCTTCCTTACTGTAAGTTAACAACTGTGTCGCAAGGTGGAAGTTGGGTAGCTGAGATATCCAGGAACTTCCACTAATGGCAGCCAGCTCCTAGAAGGAGAGCACATGGTGGCAAATCCTAGCAACCCAGCCGTGAGCCCTTAAGCACAAGGAAAGAAAACAGGCACCATCAGACTGAGCAAGTCACTGTAAAGAGGGAAGGGACCGAGGGGGAGGGTGGCTATTAACTGAGTCCCTATGATTGAGATGCCAAGGCTGAGTAAATGCTTGCTAAAAACTGCCCAAACACGGCAAAATGCGAGAACGCTAAAAATAATCACAAGGTAGAAGAAAAATGCACTGGAAACTACTAATAACTTGCTAGACATGCCAGAATCCTAAAAATGCACTAGAAAGTGCTACAACACACACAAGAGCCAGAGCATGTGGAATACTGGTGCATTTGCATCTCACAACACTGCTGGCCAGCAAGATAAGGTTAGCACACCTTGTTGTTAACTCTGTTAAATTGCATTTAACTGCATTATATAACGTTTACAATCAAAGTAAGCCAAGTAAAAGAACCATCTTGACTAAAAAAATTCAGATTGATCACTAGTACTGTACACATACAAATGTATAACCCTGTCCTTTGCAATGACAGTGTAGAATGCTTAATCAAGCCACTGGGAAACCAAGCCAACTGCAAGGCAGTGATGTTATCTGATACAAAATAATAAGTCATTTTACTGTTGCGGTCAGTTTCAATTTTCCAAGAAAGGTGCTTAACTAAGTTGCTTGTTTGTAGGTTGACACAGGTTGTAGAATATTTCACAACAGAGAGAAATGTACAGTGGAGATTAGAGGTGACCCTGAACAGTGCAAGGTACTAGTAAATTTAAGCAGTGTATAGTGACTACACAGAGAAATGTTTAGATTTAATTTTGCAACTCTTTAACCAAATTGACAGGTACATGTAAGGCCTACACAACAGTCAGGTGCTGCCTGTAGAAAGGTACTGAGGGTTGGGGGTGAGTGTATTCTCACCTTAAGCAGCCACAATGATGACAGAATCAAGAAGGTCAAGAACAGTTGGTTTTATAACCAAAACAACAACTTTGCACTTGCATCTCATGTTTTGGTACATTTCTTTGAAATCCGTTGCATGTCTATGATGTGCCTAACGCTTTCTGCTGTGTCATTGGCAAGGAAATGTGGAGGCTGTAAACATCACCAAGCTTTTTTGTGAAATGTTACCAGATGCTTACTGCAGAGTAATTATGCAACAGGTTTCTAGTTAATATCAACATGAACTGTTTTCCATACATTCCTTGTGCTGTCAATAAGCAGAATAGGTATACAAACAGTGCCTTTTTTGGTGATTGCTTCCTCCATTCTCATGACGTCAATGTTTGATAAGGCTGGGATATTTGTAGAAGAATAAAATTTAGCTGTTGGCCACTTTCAAGTTTCATCACTCATCTTGCAACTTTGTTGCTTTTCGCTCACTTTGCAGTATCCCTTGCGCCTTCAGCGCAAAACGCAGTCGACTTTGTGGCGAGTCTAAAGAACTCATTACTCGTTAGTTACTTTTTGGAATTGCAAATACTTCTCCCTTAAGTTCTTTGCAATTTACAATGTGGGCAAGAAGGTTAAAAAGTGATAATGGGAAAAAGAATGTGGAGAACAAAGGTACAGAAATCTGACCAATTTGAAACTGATATTGTCTGTTATATCTCTTTTAGGTTGCCAAGAAGAGGGTGTACAGTGTTGTAGCTGCACTTCAAGAAGAGTTTGTAAGTTAAATGAAGACCCAAGGACATGTTACTTTACTGAAGTTTCAGGGCTGTTAATTCATCTTTTCAGAAAGGAAAAATGCCTGCCCAAGTCACTATTTCAGTCAGACAAACTAGAAAAGTTGTCAGGCATACATCTGTACATTATATCGGTTATCACTCTGACTAAGGGATAAATTCTGTCAGACATCAGTAAATTTTAGTCAGACATGGTCAGATGACCGACTGTTATTTGCAGCTTTGAGTTTACTGCAGTTTATATTACAGACTACAAAATGTTTTTTCTACTCAGACAAGTACATTCTTTGGTGTTCTCAATGGCAGTGGCTATATGAAAACTAAATGAATCGTACAAAGGATGATTAACTTGACATCAAGCTACATGTAGGGTTGATTTTTAATCAGAATGTTATTGATAACTGGAATTTAATTCCCAGTTGTAGTTTTAGAAACATAACCTTGTGATAGTGCTGACCGGTTTTTTGGGTAGTATAATTATTAATTATTACTCTATTACACTGATAAATATCCAAATAAATAACGATAAATTATCATTACTAATGGCAGCCAATAAAGTTCTTCATATTTTGTTTTCCACCAGGGCGCCCTTGTTCCACTGTCAGAAGAAATTCTTGAACATCTTCAAACAGAAGGTCGCAGGTTGCTAGCTGAAAGACTGGCCCTTTGCTCAGGAGCTAATGTCAAGATGATAAGCGGTAATTTTCTTTAGCTTTTATGGTACTTTTTCTCTGAGATGCTTTGTAGCTGGTATAAAAGGAGAGGGGAGGGGAGGGTTAAAAGCCAGTGGAGATTCCCTCAACCCTGCCCTGTATACTGAATGTGGTGTAGCAAGAAGGGGGGAAATCATTTCTTTTATTTTGCTTGTTCTTGTAACCTATGTGGGATTGTGTTTCATGGAAATGCAAGTAACTCAAGGGATTATGCTTGTAGAATACGAGAAGTATAGCATTGTGTAATAAACATAAGGTGTCCAACCTGATTGTAAGATATTCATTCTAGTCACAACTTTACCCATTTCTTAGAACGTAAGACCGTTTACATTTTAACCCTTTAAGATCAAAATTTGAATTCTCATTTGTTGCCTCTATTCATTTCCTACAGAAGTAGTGGGGAGAAGGTGTTAAAAGATCAAGCAAATTCATCTTGTGTGATCATGCCCGTAATTCTCATGACCACTCTGTTTTACAAAGGATTGATATTACAAGGAGAAATTTGATGCTGATCACTCTTAGGGCTTAAAGGGTTAAGGGTGCACACATGTACATGCACTTTACCTGACTCATAATAAGCAACCACTTACATATTGTAGCTACAGTGTATGTGCAATAACATATTTTTTAATTCAAAGATGATCATTACTTCGTTTAGACACGCAACTGTTTATATCTGGTTACCGTACGTGTGTAAACCTGGCAAAGAATCAGCTTGCAAAGATCAAGGTTATGGTGAGTACTGTATGCATCTTTTTTTCTTGCTTGCTCCCTCTCTACTCTTAGCCCCTCGCGTGTCGCACGCGCCTCGCTCGCAATTTTCGCTTACCTTCCAGTTTGTGTGGAGAATATAGGAAGAAGCTTAAACCATGAAAGCGGCGAAAACGTTAGCAAAGTACATTCGCGTGACTTGTTCTCATTGGCCCTTGTTCCATGCCTTTTCCATTTGTCAAATTTTGGTTAATTTTTCTGTTTTCACACTCTTTGATAGCTTTTCTTGTTGACACGAAAAGGTATCTGGTTTTGTATGTACAGCAACGGTCCGGACTAGAGTAAGTTATTCACACTTGAAGCATTGTGCCGGCGCGGTTGGCTGAGAGGGTTTGGTGCACTAAATAGGCCACTTCCGAGTTCCAAAACCCTTACTTTCAAAATGAGGCTGGGTGCACAACCTTTCTTGTGAAAATGAGTTTTATTTGCATGAGAATGAAAAATGATTTCCATATCAAAGGCTGAGCACCTACCCTCGTTTTGAAACCGAGGCCCGGAGGAACTCGGAAATGGCTTATTCCATCCTCACTCCTAAATATAACATTTACTTCCGTCTTAGTGGGTTGCAGTCCTCGCTCCTACCTATTCACTTCCGCTATACGGTGCAAATACCTGTTCATACTGTACCGTAGTGTGGCACACAACCTATCCGATATGGGACGCTCCACTTTAGAGATCGGCGCCGCACAGCTTCGCTCCGTTACAGAAATCGCGCCGAAATCACCGTTCTCATAAATGTGATACGTAGCCCTATCCAGTATCTGGTATAGTGTGAACACAGCTATTGCCTTTTGCCGCTCTCGTACCCGTCGCCGTTGTCATTACGTAGGCTTCCTAGTAAGACTGTGAAAAAAATGCACTTTTTATTTGAGTGTCAATGTATTTAGCTCGAAAGTACTAATTGGGGACACTATATTTTACGTCTCCAACTGGAGACGGGACCGCCATTTTACGTGGTCATCCGAGCCACGCGAAGGTCTAGCCTGTTGCAGTGCAAAGGGAGTACCTTCATTTCTCGGTTATTTTAAGACCCTGAGTATTGGTCCGGCCCGAGGAATCGAACCCGCGACCTTCCCGCTCTGCAGTCAACACGCTCTACCGACTGAGCTAATACTGCCGCGGTAAAAACACTCTTACACCTTAGTATCTGAATGTACCCTCACCATTTGTTGTTAAATGGTATTAAGTGTAATATCTCTTGATTTACAGCTAAAGTACACAGATGATCCAGACATCAGTGTAGCAAGTCCAAGCCAACCAGATAGTGCTGAAGAAGAGATTGAACGAGTGGGTAGACTGTTCGCAGCATTAGAAGGGAGACGACAAAGTTTAAAAGGTAAACATTGCCAAGTAGTCTTCACCCGTAACAGGGTCCGAAATTAACTTTTTAATATGGGCGCCAACTGGTGAGCAAGTATAAATTTTTGGTCGCCAGAGGGCAAATTATTTTCGCCAAAAATTCCCCTTGGTGGCTTGGAACGTTCAACTCGTATTGATTGTAGCTGTTGTGGAGGTATATTTACAGGAAGATTCGTTTCCCTTTTAAATTAAAAAAATATCAGCAGGACAAAAAGTAAGACACCTGTTGGCAAAGAGCTTCGAGGTTTCAATTCTTAATCATTTTCTCCGAACATGAAAGTCTACAATAACAACCAGCTTTACAAGTCGCCAGCTGGCTACCAGCTATGAAATTCTGGTCGCCAGGACTGAATTTTTGGTCGCATTGGCGACCAGGAAGGCGCAATTTCGGACCCTGCGTAACAATAACAAACAAGTAGTGAGCTCGTACTCCTTTCACTAGACGTTTTTAGTTGGATTTTTTTCCTCAACAACGCATGCTGTAATTGGCCATATCGAGGCAATCTCATCGCCAGAGCCTTTGTTTCACTTATCTGTAATGGAATTTTCCATTTAGATTTCAAGGAGGGGTTGAAAGGACGAGTTTCCGCTGAAAGTGTTTGAAAACTCCTTGAATGTTTTGTTCAGATGGGAAATAATGTAGTGTTATATCAAAGTAATAGAAAAAACCCAGTTGTTGGTATCCTTGAGTCTTATAACTTGATGTCAGACTGTACTGTGGTACTTTAACCTGTGGTGCTACATTTTCATCATGAACCTGCGTGCGTCTCTGTTGTTCGATAATGAGCTTGAACTACATAAAACAAACTTTAAACCAATGATAAAACCAATATCCTCAACTTGGTCCCTTAGGTCCCGCTTCAATAACCCAGATACTTTGCAGTGGAGTTGGTTTCTGTTTCTGATGAAGGTCATCCCATTGGGTGAAAGGATAATAGTTATCTCCCGGATACTTAATGCTACAGCACCAAAGGGAAGCTTCGGCTACACGCATGTTCTTTTCTTTTTGGCTCGTAATGGTAATTTATGCATTTTAATCGTGCGCTTAACCTGAGACCAGGCCCAAGTTCAGCAGTTTTCATATATTCTCTCATACGCATTCGCGCTTTTATAGGGCTCTCTATTCGTTTAGCCTTGCCCGCGGGAATTTCAATTCATATACCAAGCGAAAAAAAATAGAGCCTAATCTCAGGCTATCTTGCGCTATTCGTAGCCTTGTGTATATGCCTTAAATTTTTCTTTGAACAATTTGTTACAGAGCCTAGTACTGCGGATCTAAAGCCCAGCAAAGGCAGCTTGACAAGGGACTTCTTGCTTGCTTGTGCTTCATCCCCTATTGCTCAGCAGCGCCCAGCTGATCTCAGCTTAGATAGAACAGAGGATTGGGTCCAAGCCATTGTGCTAGTTAATGTGAGTATCGGGCTACGTGCAAACGGATGCAACATTGTTGACCAACAATTCCCAACTTTGTTGGATGTTGCATGTTGTGTTCGTTTGCACACCCTGTTGCGTGTTGTTGCGCAAAGTTTGAAACCGGTCAAACTTTTCGCCCCGTGCAAACGGACGCAACATTGTTGGCTTACAACTCCCAACATTGTTGGGAGCTGTTGCGCCCGTTTGCACGTAGCCTCAGAGTGTTTTAAAAAAGAATCATGTGGGGTATTTGTTCTTTGTGGAGTTGCCTGCGAATAGAGCCGCCTCCATCGCTGCCGTCGCGAAGGGACCCTGATGGCAGAGCCTTTCTTTGAGTTTCACCAGCTCGATTTTAGCGTAATCGAGAAAGACACTGCACAAATTGGGTAAGATATTTATTGAGCATGTGCAGCCCTCTTGCTGGGATACCTGGATAGCTGTGCGCTTGGTACATGAACATCGGGCTTAGTTACGAACATCGGCTTATCAATAAACGGATGCTTGTACTCGGAAAACCAGTTTGAGTAGAAAAAAAAAAACAAAACAAAATTGACTGGTCCAGGGCCCGGTTCCTAAAAGGCAGATTAGCGCTTAATCCAGGATTAAAATTTTGTTCCACTTTTTGTATTGAACTTCCAACGCACTGCTTAGAGTAACATTTTGTGTTATCATTTCTTTTTTTCGAAGTAAAGACACAACAGTATTTTGTAAGCTCAAGTTACATGTTCTTAGACAGAAAACCCTTGCTTAAAATTTGGCTTAATTCCGGGTTAAACTTAACCATCTTTCGAATTCGAGGAACGAGAGGCCCGTTTCTCAAAAGGCCAGGTAACTTTTCGGGTCCAAAGGCAAATTTTGAAATCAAAACCTGTTTAAAAGTAGCTCAGTTCCTAACGAGGACGAGATGTCAATCCTTTTTTTCCCGCGTGTTAACATTAGATAACTTGTTCCGGCCGCTATGAGAGTAGAATGACAAAGGCTATCGCGTTTTCCCGCCGAAATGATGTTGGTTCACGCCTGCGCACTAGATAGTGTTAAGAAAATCTCGTCCTCGTAGTCGTCTTTGTCTTGGAATTTAAAGGTAATCTCATGCGGGACGATATCGCAACGACGATTTTTAGCGCAGTACAGCCTTGCAATGTTGGAACAATGTTGCAGCCATTCCAAGCAATGTTGCAACAATGTTGCAATGGGGTGTTACGCAAAAAATCCTGGTTGCCAATCGTCCTCCAATCCCGACCCAGTCTCCCTCGAACATCAAAATGACCTATTAAGCAACATCAAAGCGCCTTGCAATCCTCGCCACTTATCTACACACGCAATAAAACACGTCTGAAATAGCACCAAAAAATCGCCTGTGTGAACGGGACTTAAAAACTATAGGATTTTACTTTTTGTTATTTTCAGGGAAGAAGGGGCGAGGAGGTTCTGTTGGGACAAAGGAGAGGTTTTGGATCACCTTCGTGTAATTTGGATTCCAGAACAAGACATCCGTCAGTCTAGGGCCTCATTGTTTCTATTAACTGTCGACCGTTTATTATGGGATGTCTGATCATCGCAGAAATGTTGTTGAATGAAACAAGTGCGTTCAACGCTACGTAAACGGAACTCGCCGGGCACTGCCCTTAATCTGAAAGGAACAAGTTTGTGTTTGAGCATGCATGGTTTAAAAAAATGACATCGTTCTCTTGGCATCTAGACCTTGCTGGTGTTATTCAACGTAGCATCTTCAAACAAACAAAGAGAGGTCATTTTTTAATGGGATTTAGAAGTACCAGAAGAGGTTGATTGATCTTCACAACCATCAGTATTGAGCTTGGAGTAGAAGTTGAAGTGACTATTTCTGATGTTTAAAATGGTGCAAGAAAGGATCAACAATCAATATAAGAACAACTTTACCGTTAACGTGTTTGACGGTCTAATGAAGAATTATTCTAAAGACCCAGGAAAAAAGTAAAATGGTGACGAACCTGACTTTTTTGGACACCTTTCAAGACGGTCGAAGAGATGATCCCAAACATTTATTGACAAAAATTCATAAATACAAATTTTAGCGGTATAAATCAATATAATTTTCGTCCAGTTTTTGTTGGGACATGACGTGAGGAAATTGATTGAAGTTTATTTGAAATACGAGATGGTTTTTTAACTTGTTTCAGTTGGTTGAGTTCCTTAGATGAATAAAATTTGACCACCATCGTCGTTAGTAGAAAACCGAAGTTTTGTTATAAATGCAAGATTTTTGTTTTCTCCCAAAAATAACCAACACCAATTTTCTCCTAATAAAATCGATATATTATTAAAGGTGATGTTACACGGAACGAGTCGCAACAACGATTTTTAGCGTAACACAGCGTTGCAATGTTGGAACAATGGTTTAACCATTCGAAACAATGTCGCAACAATATTGCAACGCTGTGTGGCGCTAAAAATCGTTGTTGCGAATCGTCTCCTGTAGCATCACCTTTAAGGAAAAAGGTCATTAGGATTAATAAACTGATCACCAAAGAGAAAATGCTTTAATCTTTTATCAATAAAGGTGATGTTACACGGAACGATTCGCAACTACCATTTTTAGCGCAACACATCGTTGCAATGCTGGAACAATTCAAACAAAGTTGCAACGCTGTGATGTGATACAAATCGTCTTTGCGAATCGTGTCGTGTAACATCACCTTAACTTTGTAGGAAAATTTATGGAGAAAAGTCTGGAGAATTTATATGTTAATTATTGGGGCTTTGAAGGGTTATTAATTTTTAAAATCCTATCGTAACATCAACGTCACGCGGCGAAAATCAAAGCTGATTTCTAAGCTGATTGCTTAAAATATGACGAAGATCGGTAATTCTATTCTGATTCTTTATAACCCATACAGAGATTCTAGCATCTACATCGGCACGTGATTTTATTAAAAATTGCGTGGCACGGACGCTGTGAATAAACCGTTTATGGTGTAACCTAGTGGGTACTGAAAGCTAGTTGGTTTGTTTTTGGAATTTCTAAACAAAAACTGAGTTCTTTTGATGACTCTCAAAAAATGAAATATCAAATCTTTCGCTTGAAAGAATTCCCTTTGCTTCTACGCGAAAATAGGTTGCGTCGCATTGTTATTTCCAAATTGACACGCGTGAACTGTAGTTGCCATAATGAACATAACATCTTCCATGGAACTTGTATTGTCGTCCTCCGTACAACTTCAGAACCTTGAATTCTGTGTGCAAGGATTTTGTAGAGATACAGGGCTCAAGGAGCTGGCACTGTAAGGTCCTGCAAAGCGGTAAACTGTGTATACTGTAGTGTGTTATACATGTATTAAAAGGAAGCGGAATTATAAAAGCGCGCTTTTGCGATAAGACAGAAGGCATTAAATTCAGAGATGACATTCAACGGTCTGAACTTAAAAAAGCTTTCAACAGTAAGAAACTTTGGTAAAAAAATACTTAGGGTTTTGTTTAATCATTTGCTGATACAATCACACAGTCTAAAGGTTAAGTAGAGTGGCAAACTTCGACACAAAATCACGTTTTCTCATATTTTCACTCAGGTAGTTTATGGTATTGCCGCCAAAAACGCCTATCACCGAATAACAACACTTTTCGCAAACGCTTATTATCTCGCAATGTATCTGTAAATTGTGAGCTCGACCGAGCGTCAAAGATTTAAAGACATCACCATAAGCAAAATGTTGCCTAAGTGTACGAGGTACCATAGCCACGAGGAATTTGAATTCCAAAGTTAGGCGGTTTGACGACAGTACGGGGCGTGGGACTGCAGTTTAAACTACCCGTACGTTACAAGACGTCATAAACTGAGAAAACTTATGAGGGAACTGTGAATACTCGAGTGATGATGGATGTGAATGTTCTTTAGTCCATGATTGAATAGTTATGACTGCTTTGGGTGATCTTTTATAAGGGAACTGTATATCTTTATGTCTAGGCAGTAATCACAAGACGAGGGACGGACGTCCCCTCTTACGTACGGGAAGGGATTTCTTTGCGCACCTATTTTATACTGCTTGCAAAATTATCACTTGAGAAATGAGGAACTACTTTCAGTGAAGGAAAAAAAAACAAAGAACATCTGACGAGCGCTCATCTTACTACTCACAATCAAAAGCAAAAAAGTCTGACTAACAACTACACAAGGCAACTGTTTGCTTGGTTTCTTTCATTTTATTACCTTTGTTACCTTATTTTTTCACTACAAAACCTTGTCAAAACCACAGTTACAAGTCAGAGGATAGAGTGATTTTACTTGAACCGTGAAACAGATAATAACAACTAGTGCAAAATAGCTACAAATAAACAAAAAAAAGACAATTTCACGAGTTAAGTAAAATCACTCTAATCAATATGATGACTAACTATTCATCATGGAGTACTATTTTAGTCACATACTATCAAATCCAATATTCAACTAAACACTCCCTTTATTCTCAGTAGACTTATTTCCGCAAAGTCCTACAAATATAAGCAAGGCATTTGGTATGAGAACTATGAGAGGTTTGGAAAAACGGATCACATGTTATAGTGTCTATAATGCCCTACTTTCAGTAGACTGTCGAGGTCCATCGCCCAGGTCGAAAGATTGATATCCTGATGTCTTATGGTAAGCGGAAACTGGAAGAGCTTGGGATGTCTGCAAATTGCCCGTAAGTATGACTCGCAAATACCCTCTCAATTGCTCGTACCTAAGGGAATGGCCCCCCCGCCCCTAACACACACATCACGGGTAATTTTTACTCTCGAACTCGGCGATCCACCTAGATAAGTATCAAGAAAAAGAGGACTCTGAAAGTTTCGTTTCTTTTGCAACGAAATGGCAACAAAATGAACGGATGAAAGAAATGTTTTCCTCAAGAGAAACAAGCTCAACAGTCGAAAAGAACAAAAGACAGATGAACTGAAACTCGTTAATTCAAAAAATATCTGCATGGAGCAACCTCCATAAAATATTGTTACAACAGATTGGATGATTCATCCACTATTTCATTTCAATGAATATCAGCACACCTATTAAATACCTTTGCAAATGGTACTTGTATACCACAAAAATTTTAAACAACTTTTTTTTAGTTAATTTCAGTCCAGAACTGAAACTACCAGAAACAAGAATAATTTCTACTCAACTTACACCCTTACATCTCAAGGGAGAAATGGGAAAAATAAATTTATTCCTAACGTATAAAACTTGTCTAGCATTTTGAAATTTTTGTTTTTAAACTTGAAACAGCCCATCTCGCACCGCGGCCAGTGGCGCGAGCCAGACACTGTATTGAGACCAGGCTTTTCTGTTTGCTCTTAAGCGGTGCGTTTGGCCTTATAGGGAATGAAACACTACATCACATCCTTCCCACGACGCCTTACGGTCTCTGTTATACGCGCGACAATAGGGACTACACAAAAGTGTGACGGCACAACAACCGTTAATCGCTTTGTCGTCCGCTGCACAACGAGCGTATATACCTATCTCGCTCGAACGAGGTCCCCTCTTGTCAGCTCCAACATAACTGGAATAATCGCCGATAACAAAAAGACGCAATGTCAGTTGTCAGCGAAGTTTTCACAGGTTTTGTCGTTGTCAAATCGTTAAGTTCCCTCACGGTGCCTGGGAATGAGACAAACCGGACGACGGACAGCAAAACTAACTTGCCAGTCAGGCCAATGAAAAACAGGAGTTTATAACCATAACTGCCAATACATCATTTAATTTTCCACAGCACAGTGAATGAGTTTTAAGTTAGTCCACTTGTTAATTCGTCAGCTTTGAATAGCTTGGTGGAGCGTATTTGCGCCTGAGATATTTCAGAATGTACAGTGGTAAACAGCTGACTAGAGTGATAACAACAACCTTCCACAAAAACTCCGAGGATATTAGGAACTTTTGGTCTGAAAAACAAAGAACATGTATATCAAATCAAAAACAAAATCATATAAGTATTTATCGAATGTAATAATGCACCCAATATATATGCGAAAACGACCACAAAGTAACACACTGAAGGGAAATTACATGCACGCAAAACTGCCACTGAGTGAAGGGAGGGCACACACTAACAATGTCTCTGTAAAATTTTATCTAAATCGCCTCTAAAACAGCCGAGACATAAGCGTTTTAAAAGACGTAGCACAAGCAAAAATTTTGCCTTATGAATTTATTCATAGACAGGTGTCCCCCGCGGCCTTAAGATGATAAAGTAAATCAGAATACATATCGCATAATTTACGGAAACTGACGGTGCTTCAGTCTATAGCGAGGACAGCACTTACCAAAATAACCTTTAAGGACAATAAGGGTTCCAATGTAGATAAGAAGACTAATGACTTCAGCTACTAACATAAGCCAGTGCCACGTATGAATAGTAAGAGCTACCATAATCAGTTCAGTGAGAATCAGAGAAGTGAATGTTATGGATACCACGTGAATGAAGTCCTGATCGAAAAGGAGAAGGCCACCGAACATTATGATACCACCTGAAACAAACAGCAACGTCAGCTTTTCATTAAAGTGCTACTAAATCATATGTAATATTCTAGTATGTAACATTAACCAGTTCAGTCCAATGCCCAAGGGCGGATGTAGGGGTGGACAGAGGTCGACAAGGTGAATTATGGAAGATTTGAAAACTCAATTCCTCCTGCGTCTCATTCTTTCGATAACGACTGACACTGAAAGACTGACACATAAAAAAAAACTTCCTCAGGCAATCTTCTCGAACGTATGCTAGATGGAGGTAATCGACAGTATGGTATAATTAAAGGTGGTTTCCCGGTGATTATTACGACGGAGAGAATTAACCCCTCCTATTAAATTTACCTTGATATATGCTGATCAGGACCCAAATAAAGAAAGTCTTGTATGAAAGTGATCTGCCCTGCAATTTACAAACAGAAGAAACAAGAAAAACGGCGCAAAGTTTCAATAGGTTCAATTTTATCATTCCATGGTTGAAATTTTACTTTTCTTTTCCTCTCAAACGCATCATCATACGTTAGTACACTCCAAAACATGGGGGAAGAAACATTTAAACCGAGAAATATTGAATTTAATTACCGACAACAACTACACTATTAGTTTTATCACCAACCTTCCCTAAATCTTTATACAATTCAGGATAAATTAACGCGATGTCGGAAGGAACATCCTCATCCAATACAAGAGAGAAAACCGGCAGCATTGTGTACGCCGTGCCGTACCTACAGTAAAATGAAGCAAATCAGTATTGTGCAGTTAGTGTTCATACAGAGAACAAAGAATTATTGACCGTTAAAACGTCCACCTCAGAGTGAAAGTAGTCGCCTTTATGACAATTGACCACGACCAAGAACTTTCAGCGTGAACGTTCGGTGAGTGCAAGAATGATAAAACTATGGAGTCTCCATCGAATAAAATAACTGTTTGGTTACGTCTCAGTTAAAAGGGCTCAAAATGACGGTCGGTCAACGGATATGACCATTTGTCCGGAAAAACTGTCAGTTGGCCGGTCATTTTGACCGGTTAAGTAGATAGCTGTCAAATAAATAACTAAAAATAAATTCAATCGCATTTATTCTGGAAGTTACAAAAACAGTTAAATAATTATTTGTCGGAATTGCATGGCTATTATTTTAAAATAAATATATACAATATTTTGACCGGTCAGAAACGAGCCATAACAGTGACCGAGCTAAAATGTGTTTTAGCGGGTCAACATGGCCAACCCTTTGCAAACATGATTTTGAGCCCTGGTTTAAGCTCTTTTACGGAGCAAAAACCATGTGGCCGAGGGTGATGGACTGTGCAAAAGACTGAACGGGAAACACTAGGAAACAAATAAAACGGCAACTTACCCGATTAAAAGAATTCCAGAGAAAAGGGAAACTGAAGCAAAATAGAATACACAAGAAAACACCGCCTGATACAAAAAGAAAACACAGATCAGCAACTCAACAATGACTCAACGGGCGCCAGTCTCTGTGAAGAGACAATATGACTGTCATCAAGACCAATGTCTTTCGAACATCCCCTTACAGCTCCTCATATGTTCTTTCCTTTAGATTTGTTCCCAAAATCCTTCGCTGTTCGTTTCCGGTCTGTTGGTCACGCACGAAGGACGAATATCACCTGCAGCTCGCCAAATTTTCAGCCGCTGTTCAAAGAATTGGTTGAAGCTCAGATCCATTCCAATCACACCCAAATGAACTCTACCTTGTTTTGAAAAACTGCTAAGGTAAGCGGTCGGGATCCGCCCTCGCCCTCGATTTTTCTTTCTTTTCAGTTGTCATAATGTTTTATCTTTCCAGTATCTTCGTGAGTAAAGGGGGGAACTTTGCAGCAGAAAAAAATTCCTGAGCTCAACTTGTTGGCCAGGGGAGATGTTAGTCAACTCGCTCGGCGCATAAAATACGGGAAGTTCAAATGCAAAGCATGCCAGCCTACCTGCATTACGGAAATAATAAGTCCTCTGTGGATAACAAACTGGCCCAGAGCTGCTGATCTCTTGTAACTGGAAAGAAAATACAAACGGTAACAAAACGAATTTTGTGAGGTGGAAGTTCTTTCCATCAAAACATAGGAAGTGGAGTTGCCACAACTCATCACCACTATCATGGTCATCGTCATTGTCATCCTTATCATTATCATCATCATTATCATCATCGTTATCAACATCGTCATCGTCATCGTCACCATCCGATTATCATCGTCATCATTATTACGGAGCTTAAACAACGACGACGGCGACGGCTACGAAAACGTCACTTACAAAGTGAATTAGCGCTGCTTCAAACTTTATCGCGCTTATTCCATTTCGTTTAATTCGTCAAATGTTGGCAAATTTTTTTGGAGTTGAATTCTAAAGGACTGTATCAAAGTTTACGAAAAAAAAAGGAAAGTTGTCGTCTCGTGTTCCCGTCCTCGACAAAACGTGCAATTAGACACTTTTACGTTGTAGTCGTGCAACGACGGCAAAGAAATGCACAAAAAAGCGTGATGCGCGTGGAAAGTTGTTGTTTTGCTGATCTAAACCTATTGCGTTATTGCCGTTCTCGTTGACGTCGCCGTCGTCGTTGATTAAGTTCCCTATTAACAGCATAATCACCTCCATCATCACTAAAATAATCAGCGGGCAGAATCGTTATCATCAACACCATCGTCATCGTAGTCATCATCAGAATCAGCGGCAGGAGCACTATCGTGATCACAACCACCATCTACACTTAAAAATCAAGATTCTAACTAAACAACAAAAAAATAAATGAACCTGTTTCTTCCGTGCCACATCAATAGCCTTCCAAGACATCTAAACTGTGTGATGGAAAAATCTGCTGCAAGTGACGCTTGTCGACCTTCCTGTAATGACAGAGAGAATAATGCATAAGCCATGGATATGGAAAGAAAATCTCTGTTAAACAGCGGTTAATACCAGCGGATTTTGCTACGGTTAGGTGTTGGTTTTCTAAGGTCGCAATTAGCTCACGCAATGTGAAACCTACTCCGGGAAATCAAAATGAGCACGAAGTTTTTATACACTTAGCCGCATTATCCTTCATCCTATAGAGCGTTTTTAAAAATAACAGGGATCGTGTTGTTTATATCCATCACCCTACACGACCGGCGTGACTATCTAGACGCCACATTTTGTGCAGTAAGTCAGCGCAAGATTCGAGGATGCACTTGGAGAGACTTAACTGTGATTTCACGGCTAATAGAAAATTGAGGTTGACTGGCGAACGCCTATGTGGTTTTCGTTCTATCTTCTGCACGATAGCAGAACCTTGGTATAACGAAGTACTCGTTGTAACGAACGATCTTCTTCCCTCGAGTAATGGTACATACTATGGAAAAGAACTCCATGTCACCAACCATCGTTACAGCAAACATATTTTGCGAGTCTCTTGGTCCTTCGTTAGTGAGAGGACATTTTCTCTCACCTTTCCTTCAATGCCAACTCCCGCATCAGCAGCTTGAATCATACTGACGTCATTTCCACCATCACCTAAAATAAAATTAAGACAGGCAGAGTAACTATGGCATGAAAAACTGTTATATCTAGAAGCTCATATTTCACTCAGGCGAAGCGACGTAGCGACAACGAGATCAGAGTTCGAAGTTAATTAATGCACACGAGGTCTCGCCACGTTGTCAGGGAGTGTTCTCGTTGGGTTGTCGGTGCTGCGTCGAATTGCATTATGGGACCGTTTTGGGAGACCAATTTTCACCCAGTTTCCTGTGCAACGTGGCAATAGCCAACGGGGAGCTTAAGCAGTGACGTTTTTGAGCGACGCGCGTCAACCGAAAGTGAGCCTTTTCCATTGATAGGCAGTGGTTTAGCCTGAATTTTCGGCCAAATCGTGTCTATAAGAATAAAGACACTTAGCAATACAAATTTGGCAGCGTCAAGTCATATTATAAAGGAAAAGGCATCACTTTCGGTTGACGTTCGTCGCTCAGAAAAGCCTTTGCTTAATCTCCCTAATAAGAGGCGACAGCGTCCCAAAACAGTCCCATAGTGCAATTCGAAACATCAGCGACCCAGTATTACAAAACACCTGAAAATGGCCAGTCGACCATAGGCAAATTGCACGAAAACGTCATTATACTGCTATGACCATAATCCTTCAGGGTTTTGCCTTCTTGCGCAAGTAAAAAGGCTATTGTTATTTTAATTTCGCTGGGACTACCAAATTTTTTTAAAATATAAAAGAAAAACTAGATGAATCGTGGTATTAGTAGTAAAAGGATGGCATCGTGCAATTGGCATATTGTAGAAAGAAAAGACTTCAGAGAAACGTGAATTTGTTCAGCTGCACATCATCATATAGTACTGGGCAGCATACAAATGGCACCCAATACACAGTGGTTCATTATCTCACCTATTGCGCAAGTCCTCTTTCCTGTATGTTTCTTTAGAAGAGTCACGATATCCGCCTTCTGTTGCGGTGAACAGCGGCAACACACCACAACAGGGCAGTTACAAGCTAGTTCTATGAACTCTTGTTCGTAATGGCGTAAACAAACCTGGCAGAACAGATTAGAACAGTAATCAGTTGATGAACCACAAGGTAAAATATCTGAGTTAACCAGAATTACTCGGATGACGGCCATTTTAGACATACCTCTAATGAATATCCTTTGATTATCAGAGCGCAGTCATTTTTTCGCCTCAATGAATTGAGCTCTAAATGTGCTTCGGAACGATTGCTTATCTGCCAAGAAATAACAGAGAAGGTGGGTAGATAACTTTCTCTTTGTAATATGAATGCTTTACAAAACTCATTGGTAACGAGAATTAAAGACATGATCAAACAAAATGAATCTAACTGATACTTCAACAACATCTCCCCACTCCTTCTATGGGAAGAGTATAGTGAAAACAAACAAAGAATCTGAATTTTAATATTAGGGTTTACATGGTTTAAGGCTTTTTTAAGTCACGATAAAAAATTATTTGCATGAAAATGAAACTTTTTCCCAAAGGAAAATCGTTTTATTGTTTTACTCTTCCAACAAGGCTGCGGAAATACGAGACGCGAAACCAGAGCCAGAACAAAAGTTTCACCAAGTTCGCCAAAGACAGATATGAATTTTTATTCCGCAAATACATTCACGAACAAACTGTGTTGCTGATTGTATTTAAATATGACTATTGAGGACTGGGTGAAATATTAAGTAGGGTGCCCGTGTTATGTTAAAAAAAAAAACAAATACCTGTTTAAATGTATGTATCATTTGATTTCTGGCAATGAGGCGAGAACTCTGTGCAATACAGGTAGCGGTCTCGAGTTTGTCCCCTGTTAACATCCATATCTGAAAGTCAAAACAGCCCGTGTAAGGGTTTTCAAAGGAAATGTGTTTGTTCCTTAAATAACCTTGCGATGTCTCACCCTGATTCCGGCATTTCGAAGCATTTCAAGCGTAGGACGAACATCAACCTGTAAGGAAAATAGCAGCAGTTCACTAAAGTCGAAGCTGTAAAAATGTGTTTAAAACAACAAAAACAACAACAACAACAAACAACAGTTATTTCCTGAAGGCAACGAGCTCTTAGACAATTATGCTTTACCCAAACTAGACTTACGAATCTGACGTTAGATTTTAATTAATCTGGTGCTAGTGAATGTTTGCCGTTGACGATCTTGAAAATCTCTTTAGAAGAATGTAAGACTTTACCCAAAGTATTTTGAAGTCATAGATCCTTTACTCCCACGCGATCTCAAAGTGTCATTATTCACAACTGAAGAAACAGTTTTTGCGTACAAAATTACCTGAAGTTTGTCTTCAACACCTGTTAAACACAGCAATTCTAAGTCGTGTTCCAAAGTTCTTTGTACGTCCATAACCTAGAAGATTAAGTAAGATAAAGTTCAAGTAGTCGGTTGACTGGCAAAACAGAAAGAAAAGATACGCAAGACGAGCACAAATCAAAGGAAATGCGACCCACCTTACTTGCTCTGTCAGCAATGTTCAGTTTAGCTTGGGTGTATCGATGCTGTAAAAAGAAAATGACACGATCACTTACAGTTAATTCAAATACGAAACGGTGGAATAAATATGATTGTAACACTTTGTCTCAGATCAGACAATCGCGACGTCAAGGAAACCGCTTTGTCTGACTCCAACATCTTAGCGTTTATGCTTGTTGAAAAAATTACGAGACGAAGAGCGTTTGTGTAACCTTGTCTTGCAAGCCATGCTGTCAATCACTTTGCATATTGAAGATTTCGTGGGACTGATAACCCTTAGTCTCTGGGAGCAACTCCAAGACTGCTGTTTACACTCAAGAAGAGACCTACATAGTTTCACAAACCTCCTGCAAACGCTCCGAACATTCATATACTACAATAATATGCATGGTATTAAGGATAAACAAACCTCAAAATCCTGGTACTGATCTTCCGTAAGAATTTTTTTGGCAACAACAAGGGTTCTGAAACCCTCACGGGCCATGTTACCGCACTGAAAAGGCAGGAAATTAAAACAAATGTTACACAAACTTGCTGAACTGGAAACTGTCGCTATATTCTAACCTAACTTCAAAAGGATTTCGCTTCAAAGCCACCCGTCCCTTAGTATAACATTCGGCAGATTTAGAAAAGACAACGTGGCGACAGTGACAACGGCGAGCGCAGATCTAAAAACCGACTTGACCAGTGACAGAGCGGTAGATTTAGTCCTTATTTGAATGCAAAGAATGAAATGACTCACATTTCTGCCGAGCGCTTTCACACTGTCAATGGACGTCGCGTTTTCTTTGCTAAGTCTGCCTACTGCATCCTCACTTCAGCAAGTCATTAGACAAAATGCCATTTACACAGCCCTCCAGTAGTATACACATTCCCTCCTGCAAGTGGTAACTTCAGGTCATTTAACCCACCCCTTCCTGTAACATTCTCTCCCCGCCCCACCCCCACTCTAGCCACTCATTACACTGTATGGCATTTGACCCACCATTCCCTAGAACCGTTCACTTCTTCTCCACCCGGTCGTTGTATTGTACACGCCAGTTAATCACCCATCCCTGTTACATCCCCCACCACTCCAGCCAGTCATTACACTGTACGACATTTGACCCACCCTTCCCTAGAACCGTTCACTTCTTCTCCACCCAGTCGTTGTATTGTACACGCCAGTTAAGTCACCTATCCCTGTTACATCGCCCACCACTCCAGCCAGGCGTTACACTGTATAACATTTGACCCACCCTTCCCTAGAACCGTTCACTTCTTCTCCACCCGGTCGTTGTATTGTACACGCCAGTTAAGTCACCTATCCCTGTTACATCGCCCACCACTCCAGCCAGTCATTACACTGTACGACATTTGACCCACCCTTCCCTAGAACCGTTCACTTCTTCTCCACCCAGTCGTTGTATTGTACACGCCAGTTAAGTCACCTATCCCTGTTACATCGCCCACCACTCCACCCAGTCGTTACACTGTATGACATTTGACCCACCCTTCCCTAGAATTGTTCACCTCTCCTCCACCTAGTCGTTATTTTGCTCATGTCATTTAACCCACTCCTCCTAGAAATATTACCTCCTCCTCTAGCCAGTCATTATACTGTACAATGCTGCTCATCACCGTATCAGCGCCCTTCATATAGAATGTTATTTCGCCAGATGACATGTCCTAATAAAAATATACAGCTGGTTGGAGCCAAGTTGTACAATGGCAATACAAACCATAAACGTTATAACAATGAAGATAAAATAAACTGAGGATTACCTTGCAATTAATCGGCCATAAATAAAAGGTAATCAATAAAGATTCAAAATAAAGTCTTTTTTTTTTCCTTTTATATAGCTGGATCTACGAGCGGGAAGATAAAGCGAATCTTATGTTCTGATTGGCTATCTGAACGATGGACCTATCTGGCTCACTTGCATTTCCTGCTTTAGTCTCGCAAGGAAAAAACACCTCTAAACCAAACAATAAATCCTTTATCGACAAAGCTCGATCGGTCAAGATGGTTGGATATTGGAATCGCTTATTTTATTTTTCAGTTTCTGTCTTTCTTGTTTTTTTTGCGCCTGCTTTGATGCCAACAACGAACATCACCAGGATCCAGCCATCTTGACCTCCCGCTTAATCAAAAACGGATATTTGTTTCACGTCGCTTCGATCAGTCGATCAGAAGTTAAACCATAATAGGAGCCACAACTTATTGTCTCGTGACTTCTTTGTACCAATTTTCCTGCGCTTGGCGCCACTACATGAATTGGCCACGAGTTCTGGTTGGCTCGTTAGATTGTCTGCGCCATTTTATATTGGTCAGAGTAGTGTACTTTGATTTTGGCTTGAGATCACTCATCTAAAAACTAACTTCATGTAGCGATCACTGATGATTCACATTCTATCAAATACATTTTTTGATGGGCCATCTGACAGTCGCTCAAGGTAAAGATCAATGACGACTCACATTTTAAAACATCTTTCAGACTAGAAAAGGTTTGTACTTCAAAGACTACAGAATTGCTTACCTTAACAATGATACCCATTCTCTTGGTCTCTGAGGTGAATGGGAAGATCTGTAAAATGTTGAACACGAGTATTTCCCCGTAAGGAGTTCTAAGGTGCATGGTCGACAGATCTCTATGAACCAATGTCAGTCCCACGCTCTCTGTCCAGGTTACCAAGGCAACCTTAAAAGAATTGACAAAACGATTAGTCTGTGCAGAGGAAATATTAAAGCTGCGTCGATGGGGGTGGGTTTCATCAATTGAGATATCGGCAAAGCTAAAGTAGTTCGAATTCTGTAATCCGGTAAATTTTTGGTTGTGGAATTGGAAATCTGTTGCTCGTTTTACTGTAGCTTAAGGTATTTCAGGAGCCCATTATGGGCTCCCGAGTAAATCCACTAAACTAAACGTTTCCTCTTCGTCTCACCTCGTCCCGAGTAAATCCACTACACTAAACGTTTCCTCTTCGTCTCACCTCGTCCGGACTTGACGCCTGATACGTCACGATCTTGTCTTCCCTTCCTTCCCTCACTTCAGCGTCACTTTCATCACTGGTCACGCTATCAATACGTAGCCTTGTAGCTTGGTCACCATTGATATCTTCACTGACAGGCGTCACGTTGTGACATAACGCTAGTGCTTTCACGGCTTCGTGTACTCGCGTTACAACTGTACGACGCACCTGCCAAGAATTCAGAATAATCCCAAAGCCAGTTAGAAAGGCTGTAAAAAAAAAGCGGGGGAGGGAGGAGGGGGGGGGGAGGGGGGAGGGGTTGAGAAAAGGATATGCGATACGTCAAGGCTCTAACACTCAATGCAACTACATTACACATGAAACAACCTTACAAAATCTGTAAAAAGATACCTTCAAGCAAGACAAACATGCAACCGCAACCAAACGTGCCAGGGAAGCGTAATAGAGCGGTTTTCATTTGAGTGTCGAAAAGTAATTGGTTTTGCACTTTGTACGCGATGCGATTGGCTTAAAAGATTCGCGCCACCTTTTCATCCAATCAGAAGTAAAACCAAAGCCAATTGTGACGCGCTTGCATGCATTTTCCCGCGCTTTGCGTCAGCCACATGTAATTACTTTCAGTTTTGATTGGTTCAATGTATTGTCTGTGTCCTATGTGATTGGCCAGAGTAATTACTTTGGTTTTGGTTTTACGACACTCAAACGAAAACCACTCTAGCAACCTGGAGATTAGGATTGCAGTCGCCTTTTGTTGCCCACAACAAATACAGACCTCAAAATCGTTTGTTAAGAGGTAATCTTAACGAGGTTAATTTTAATACCCAACAAGATTAATGTGGTAGCTTTATCCGCGAAAACGAAAACTTGTTCCGCCGGCATAAGCCCTGGCGTAAGAATTTTATTTGCGAATTAAAACATTTGACACACTTTGAACACTTTTTTGCTTTGATGGCATAACTTTGTGTTTCATCTCTTAAGCTTCTTATTCACAGAGGGCAGGGTAGAAATCACATAATATTGTGACTTTTTAAAAAAACTATACAAAAAAGGCTCTTTTCATGTGAATGTTAGCATACGAGCTTTCATCAAATATTCTGAATAAAATACAGAAGGAGACCTCGGAATTGTGAATCGGAGAAGAGATGGTTCTCCAGTATATAAGTTTCTAGCTACTGATATAAACTGCGAAGTTGGCGAGTTCGATTATAGATATTGAATAAACATAATGTGTGTATATGTGGTTGGTGTTTGGCCCAATAAGCGTATGACATGAGATAGCGTGAAGTCCAAAACGATAATTATCTAAATATGTGTTAGAATTTAAAGAATAAGTAGGATTTTAAAACAACGATTCTTATTGGTCACAAGATTTCAAATGCAGAGAGCTTTCGCCTTCCAGTGTGAAGAGTTCAAAACGTTCATACGTAGTTACGAAGGTTGTAGCGCGAGTTAAAAACATGTGCTTGAAAAGACGCACCAAAAACAAGATTGAACAAAAACTGTGTGCTTTAAACAGCTTAATGTATTGGCGACATGGAAATTATTTTGTACAATAACAGTGCAAAGGACATTGAATATTGTTCACGTAGTAAGAATTATTATCCGCTTCACTGGTCCATGACTCAAGAGTATTAAGTGACGGCTCTCGAGTCAATGAGGGTTGTCCAATACTGGAGTCATTCGAGCGAGACTGGCATTGAAAAATGTCATGTCCGTTTTATCTCTTATCCAAGTGGCAGAGGACAAAACGTGAAGCCGTACTACTCGAAATAAAAAAAGGTATGTTCATCTAAATGCTTCACCATGTTGATGATGTATTTTACTCTACCAATAAATGACTCCATTCTAGGTACTCCGTGGGGCACTCCATGATTTAGGGTTCTGCATTTTGTCCTCTCCCTATCCAAGCAATATTCAAACGATTTTATTTCTGCGAAGGTGATTCTTGTTGTAGAGTCTAAAAAGGTTTGCTGACCGCAGAAATTTCTCTATTTCGAATTAACGTAGCAATTAGTTGACGCTGACTGAGGGAAAAGCAAACCACATCTGTCTTTGCACCAAGGGGCTAGGGGAAATTGGATTTTACCTCGACTTTTCTACACACCAAGACCATTGTTAACCTTTGGAACAGTTAGTTTTATCGAAACTAGACGTTCTGGTGCGCTTCTTTTATGTTCCTTGGATCGCTCACTCTCAGTGCAGTAATGTATATACAGTCTGTATGTTGGCTGATATTTAGCATGAAAACAAACGAAAGCAAAATTTAAATATTTCCAGGGGTGGGGTAAATACCGCTGATGAATGTATACAGCTGTTTCCAGAAAGGTTGTCGGAAAAAGTGCACGCGACAATCCTGAAAGGCATTATGGGTGGTTTTGAGTTCACTGTTCTTCAGCGAAATTTGAAAGAATTGGCACGAAAGGCCATGAAAATGTGTTTGCGAGCGTTTACGGAAAGGAACAAAAGTAGGTTCGACAGCTACAGTCGTCAGAAACAGTGTATCGATCATATCCCATATTACCTTTCGGGATTGTCGCGTGCACATTTTTTCCGACAACCTTTCTCGAAATAGCGGTATATAATATCTATTTATAGCATTTCCCATTCAACAGGACAGGCATATTAAAGGTACTGCAAGCCCTCGTCAGAATCGTAGTCAACTTCCAACAGATAGATTTAATCTCTTGGACTTAAATGGGATCACTTAGAACGACCGAGACTCTTCAGTAGCGCTTGATCGTCGATGAAGGTAAGCTCTACCTCGTTCAATCACTGAAACTTTGAACATTAAATGTTAGATCAAAAGCAAAATGACCGCTATCGTAGACATGAATGAGCGTTTATGCGCCAAGGCAATGGGCAGTGGAATCGAAGAGCCGAGGAAACTAAACATTTCGCTTTCCTTTCCCGGGGGAAAATAGACGCAAATGGTCTTATCATTTACACAATCCTTTGGCTAAATCAAGACAGTAAAAGGAAGTTGCGATACGAGATATTGTATCGGCATTTTCTGACCTGTTGACCCTTGAACCGCATTTCAGTGCGAATGTTTTGTATGATATATTCAAGTTTCAATTAAAGCAATTATCAATACGATAGCCTAAGAAAGATTTCTTGAAGATTTTAAAGTATAACTTGAAGTGACTGCTACTTCCAAGTACAAAGAATTAAGAAAATGGTGTTTTCATAACTTCCGTCTTGGTCGAGATTTCCACATGAATAACTTAAAACTTAAAATTCAGTCAAATTCCATAATATTTGCGGAAAAACATGATTGAATAATGAAAGGAACGTTCATTTTTCCGCAATATTTTAACAACTGAGTTACTGTCGTTTTGGGTCTGTCAATACTTCTTCAAAATTCTTTCCAGGACAACGCAAATTAGCGTCACAGTGATAAATGATGCCGACACGTCGGATTCATGAATGAGCATTATAAACTGAAAAAGCCGATGTTCAGTAAACCAGCGTTCTAAGCCGTCTGCAATTTAGATAAGGCTAAATTGTTTTCTGTGAACATCGTGAAGTAGACATATAGCGTAAAAAAAACCTTCAGTTGTTTCAAATAACCCATTTTTTGTCAAGCCCCATGGTTCACTGGGTGTCTAAAACCGAGATCGTAGTAAGAATTTTCGTTTCGGTTCAAGTCTCTCACAAAAAAAGAATAACGCTGGCATTGATCACGCTTCACATGAGACTGAATCGGTGTTGAGTCGAAGCGCACTATGGGACAGATTTGAGGCGCGATCACTTTGGCACGCGTAACCACGAAATGACCAATGCGCTCGTCCTTAACTCTGTGAGCACGACGTTAAGGTAAGATAGAGGACGTTTTTCACTTACATGAGCAAACCGTTTCATTTACTGAAAAATGGCCGCGAAAGCAGGAAACTGGTATCAAACACTGGGCGGATGGGTTTGAAGAAATGAGAAACGAATCGGTTTGGAACATTCCGTCCGGAAAAAACAGGACTACCTTTTCAGATGTTCTATTGCTCTCGGAAATTTTCCTCTGGAACCTAGAATACGAGTAGTCCCTATTTTTCCTCAGGGATAGTAGAGCGAACGAAACGTGAGCGCGAGTGAAAATCACCCCATGCGAGAAAAGGCGAGTTTTACGCGCGCTCGCGTTTCGCTCGCTCTACTATCCCTGAGGAAAAATGGGGACTGCTCGTAGCCTAGCTGGAACCACGAAAACTTCTGGAATCTTTTGGTAGATGAAAAGCGCCCGGATTGAATAAAAGGGGAGATATAGTGAACAAGCAGGTTTGCTGGTCTAACCGTCTTGCCCAGTTGAGTGCAATGTAGTTAGGCGCATGAGAAGTTCACATACATCTCCTTCGAAATCGGTTTTGGTCAACGTGCAAATCAAACCATCCTCAGTAGCCTCAAGCTTGGAAATGATGGAAGTTACATACCTCTAATGCAGAAACTATAAAGTAAACTATAAACGTTGAAATTTTAGACGTGGGACAGATGTAGAGTCAAGAAAGGAACAATAAAAAGTAAACAAGAAAATACTGATAAAAAATACATTCTCGCGCTCCATTCGCCTCAAGTAACCTCCACCATTTGCTTTAGTTGCTTCGAACTGTGAAGCAAGCAATTTTATACCTGGTTAAAGCACTGAGCCTTATAATTTACTGAACTATATGAAATAGCTTAGCACGCTACAAAAACTTACTTTAAGTCACTTTAAGTTACTCTTACAAGATAGAAGTTTAGATTTCTAACAGAACGTTCTGCTCATCTTTTCTATTTTATACAGAAACCAGGAACAATCACAAACGACCAAAGCTGTTAGTTGGCCATGTAATAAGTTAAAAATAATGTCTATGAACTCCACAAGGGAGGATTTCCTAGCCAATGAGCTGTCTAGCAGGGAGCTATGGCTTAAGGTCACCGAAACCACATTCAGCGCACTACTTATAGCAACGGCGTTCACTGGCAACCTATTGGTTTGTTTAGCGATTAAGAAAAACGACAAACTGCGCAAAATACCTAACTACTACATTGCATCACTAGCAGTGACAGATCTGCTCATGTCCATACTTGGAATGCCGCTGACACTTGTAGCTCTGGCTGCAGATGGGTGGATATTAGGAGATGCCCTTTGCCAATATCAGGGTTTTGTTGGTACCACACTGGGAACGGCATCTTTGCTGAACATCACACTGTTAGCTCTGAATCGATATTTCAAGATTGTGCGGGGGCAAAAGCACATGAGATTCAACCGAACCAAGACAAAGGTGGCCGTCTGGAGTATCGTCTTGATTTGGAGTCTTGCAATAGTATGTCCCATCCCTTATCTCGCCATTGGTAATCGCTACAGGTTTCATCCTGGAAAAGTTCTATGCTTCTTCGACCTAGACAATTCTAACATATATTACGCTGTAACGACCATTGTGTGCTTTGCTATGATTCCATTCGGAATAATAACGTTTTGTTATCACAAGGTCTTTCGCACGGTGAGACGACATAACAAAACACTTGCGCAATCTGGATCAGACGCGCGGAGGTTTACGGTTGATGAGGTTAAACTTGCCAAGCTTCTATTTACAACTTTGCTGGGTTTTATGGCTTGCTGGACACCTTTCGTGATAATAGATGTTATAGGTGTTTTCAAAGGACAGTTCGTTTTTTCAAGACGCGTGTACGAGTTTTACACGATATCTATAGGACTTTCCTCCTGTGTGAATCCCATAATATACGCAGCCATGAACAAAGACTTCAGAACGGAATTCAAGAAAATCTTGACAGCCTGTCTTTGCAAGATTTCACGTCCAAAGCACCGATCAAGCTATGCTTTGGATTCAAACGAAAGAAACAAATCGACTGAAGAGAGTCCAATTTAGTGATTTTATTTTTGACACAGTAAAAGGCTTGAACCCAGGCCAGGAGTCATGTATCAAGTAGGTGTAAGAGAGAATTGTGGTACAGGGAGGAAAACGACCAGTCTAGTCCTTGGGTTATGTGAAAAAAAAAAGCTCAAGCAGAGGCAACTGATCAAAAACGCTTAGTTTCCAAAGCGGAGACAACTTGCTAGAAATTGTACTACTTCAAAACTGCGCCGGATTCAGATAAGCTTTTAAAGTTAAAAATAGTAAGAAAACACTTCTGAAAGTCTAGTTTATTCTAAATAAAGACATTGATTACAGTAGTTTTCTTTTTGCAAGTACAGAGTGCTTTTCAGATTCTTTTTACCGAAAGGAAAACAAGCTTTTTGTATAAACTCTGTGAAACTTTGTAATCACCAGGTAAAGTAAAGTGGTAGTAGTAAAGTAAATATCATATTATCCACTCCCCTCAGGGCTTTTCAGGAATAATTTACAACACTTGTTGGGGAACTTTGCCAGACTGCTAAAGGTGCAGTTTACAAGTAATGAAGGAATCAGTAATGATGCCCCCATACATGAATGTGAAAGTGAGAGAGACCACTTCACCAGGCACTACGTGCCCTACTCTTTACGAAGAGTGTGTGGGTTCATTAACGTCCCACAGATTTTTTATTACATGTGCAAGGGCTTGTCAGACGGGGCCTACGGTTTATCTTCCTTATCCGAGAAGACTAGAAAGTCAAACCGTTTGCAGATGTTATTACAAAGGCAGCGCTTTCTCCTCAGTAATTTAAAGACCCCGAGTGTTGGTCCGGCCGGGATTTGAACTTACGGCCTCCCGCTCAGCAGATCGGCGCTTATCCCATTGAGCTAACCAGGCGGCGGTAAGTTGAACTGAAGACTACATGCGTATAAAACCCACCTTTCGGTTTGATTGTACGCAGTTCATATAGCTGAATGGTGTTCAGGACGAAAAACAAGGCTTCAACTGAAGTATAAACAACAGTAACACGATTTCTGTTCGTACAGTTCGGTTAGCAACTTTTCGAAACTGCTTGCCTAGTCGCTCTACAGACAGCTCCACCGTACATCGCTTCTACTTGTTCGGTTATTTTAATGAGGAAAGTTATTGACAATAACATTGCGCTAGTTAAAAAAATAAAAAAAACTGGCGTCAATTTGTTAATTCCCGGCCAACGCCCTTGGTAGGTGGAATATGATCGTCCGATTGGATAGAGTCCCGATAAGCCTCTTAATGACAGTAACTGACGCTTCCATAACCTGTGCGGTAGTCACCACTGGAGTCAAAGTGAGATAGGCATCGTTAGTTGATGTTTCAAAACACGGGTTATTGACTTGACGGGCTTATTAAGTAATGGTCCAGATAAGAAGGAAAGGACCAAAACGCAGTGAACACGTCGGTATGCAAAAAGGTGCTAACTTTACTATTGTCTCTACTATGGTTCTGATTGGTTCAAACATCAAATTTTACGAAATCTTCGCAAAGCAGCATGTATATTAATCCCTCTTTTTCTATCCAACTTCCTTATGACAAAATCTCGTCTGAGTCTAAGTAACACAGAAATCGTATGTGCGGATCGTGTAAAATTGTGAACATTTCTTGGCCATTGTTTGCAACTCTTGTGTTTGGTCGAAATGTTTTAACACAAAAATATACCCTTTAAAAGTGGAGTTTAAATACATTTTCTTTCGTAAGCTGCCTTTATGTAGATTTATGCATTCTCTGAGTAAAAATGAAAACATTTCTATGTGGGGAAAGCATATTGCGCCACAACAAAGCAAATTGCTTCCCTTCTTACCTGTATAATTACTTAAGTCGCGATATCATTGGTGGGTATATCAGCTAAGCCTTAATATCAGTGACTGCGACGACTAGAAAAGGGAGCCATGCGTTGCAATCCTTCTTTTGTCACTGTAGTATCACGTAAAGATCGGCCGCTGTATTGTACGGTAAATTTGTTGTAACTGTGGTAATGATAATGCCGGAGATGAGGGTAAGCTTGGACCTCAGCATACAAATGTTGCCACTAGCTGCTGCTACCGGTCCATTCATGAGCTTTCTCAGTAAAGTGATAACCGACGTAGAGTTAGACCGGATCTCCGGGGAAACTCCCCTGCAGTTTTCGACAGGTCTTGTGCGTTTCTTTACGTCCCTTTTTAATATACTGCAATAAATGCACTGTAATACTATGACTAACCATACAGTGTTCGCTAACTGGAGCTTAGAAATAACAGAAAACATTATTCAAGACCGTGCAGGTCATCGGGAGCGTCTGTGTTAGCTCAGGAGACTGGCCGCTTACTGAAATGTAAAATATAGAATGTAGACGTTTATTCAAACAGGATTTTGTCAGGGCAGCAAAGAGTGTTCCGCTTATAACAGTGTCCGTTAATATAGCTTCGACCGTAAATAAAATAAAATTTTACTGTCTGATTTAATCTTATTTTTACCCTTAATTTTGCGTTGATAATTTTTTGTCTCGAAACTGCTACTTTTCATTATTCTTACATTCGGCTCGTATACATTTTTAAAATGCGAGTCCCCGGTTCAAGGGCGGTACATTATCGAGAATATACAGGTTGTCCCGAAAGCTCGTTCCTCTACTTTATAAGTCTGTATTTCAGTACAATTGGACTTGGTAGAAAAATCTTTTAAACAAAAGTCGTGTCGTTCAATCTAATTCACTATTTTTAAACTCGTTGTGCGATATTTTGACTCGAATATTCGATTTGTTTTCTTCCGCACCAAATGTGCGCGTGCGCGAGCACGAGTCTATTTTCCAGCCACATGTTTCGTATTTTACAGCCCAAATTGCTCGAACTCCGTCCTTGTTTTTGGTGAATATCACGGCAGATAAACCCCCTCAACGCAAAAACGTTCGGCTAAGTGAGAGCATAAGCATCGTATACTTCGATTTACTGGCTTATCTGTTGTAGAAACTGCTCAAAAAAAATAGAAAAATCCGCAAGTTGGGTGGTAAAATGATCATGGAGAAATGAAGGTTTTGAAGGCAAGAAACGAAGGGGAAGATCAAATGCCCAATATATATATATTTTTTCAGCTGCCTAGACTAAACGAATATTGTTTGGGAGTTGAACTGGCTCCTGCACACCAGGTGATAAAAAAAGTTCTAAATGGATCATCTGTGGGGCTACAAGCTGTATCCCACTCCATGCCGCAACGGCTACAGCATGTGATAAAAAAAAAAAAACAAAACAAAAAGGGCATGCCAGTTACTGAAATTCTGAATACATGTACTCGATAGAGAAATAAAAATAAGGCTTTGATCAAAAGTTAAATAACTGCATGAAATTTGAGGAACGAACTTTTGGGACACCCTGTAATATCAACGAAATAAAAGAGGAGCTCGAATCTTTAATCGACAGATGGTTGACAAGAGAAGAAGCCCTGAGTAAACTTCCAAAGCCAATACAAAAGGATAATGAGCTTTCTACTTAATTTTTAATTTTATCGAGTACTATTGACTAAAACTTGGCTTTTCTCAGTCAACTCTCTATGATGTGACAGATAATAACTTTATTTATATAGCGCTCATATCCTGAGCTCATGGCGCTTGATAGCAAATGCATCAGCCAATCAGAAAGCGAGATTTGCAACACATTACTAAAGGTTTACTATAAAGCTCCAAACCTACCACTCGACTAATTAGGTGAGTAAATGATGGGTTCTGAAGGAGATTACCATCTTAAGAGTTTCTCAACTGGAGGATAATCTCTTGAGTAGGGGGAATAATCATTAGCCTTTTGACCAATGATGAAACAGTTCAATGATTGTCATATATGAAAAAACAAAAAGAGCTAACTGTGAAACATGAAGATAAAGTGGCTGAGCAAAAACACAGTGGAAAATGCTAGCTACATTAGCAAACCGGAACTCTCTTTGTGCAGTCACAATGTAAGCACTGTAATGGTTTTAAAATATCGTGTATTTTCCTTTTCGTCATTAAAAACACCTGCTTCTTTGCTCTATGTGAAATGTCAAAGATCAGTCAGCAAAAAAGAGCTTCCAAACACTTTTAAGCAGAAATTTTGGGGAAGGTCAGTTTGTAAGGTTTGTTCACGAAACAGTTTGCTCACTCGGCATTAAAAGGTTTGTACGCATGCACAATTGTGGCTAAGAAGGAAACGAGTATAGCAAACAGAAGAAGGAAAGAAAATATTACACCAGAATAACAAGGTTCAGAAATGGAATCACAAAAAAAGATCGAGAAACTGTAAAGTAACGAGAAATAATCAACCCTTTTGAAGCGGAAAGTTTTGTTTTAACCTAAACTGGGATGGCGCCAAATCGACCAAACAGTGACGTCATCGAATGACGTCTGTCTACCGGCCAGATTTGAACTCACAAGCTGATATCATGAGCGCATTCAGTTCTTCAAACCAAATTCTTTGGATGTCTAAGGTTTTATAGAGTGAGCCGCTACCGCTAGACTCTTAATATTGCCGTCGATCGTCAATTGAGGTAAGTTTACCTTCGTTTAAGCTGTTGAACAACAGAGGACGTGACTGCTGCTATCACGATTATGTAAGATTGCTGAAATTGGACGGTTTAGTAGAATGATCCGCATTGAGCCATTTGCTGCTTGTCTTCTCGAAACCCCACCTCGCAAAATTTTCTAGAGTGATCTATGGACGGACGAATCAGTAGGCAGAGAACAAGAATTTGAAACATTCCTTTTTGATCGTCAATTCATTCAAACTCTAAAACGTTTAACGGCATAATTATATTTATCTAGCTGCCAAAACCGTAAACATTTCTCAACCGGTTGCCCCCCACGAACCTCTGTTTGCCAAGAAAGTTTCTGGCAATGAGTAACTGAAGCATCTCCACTCCTGCTGAAATTAGAATAATATTTGACAATCTCGGTGTACGAGGGTGCGAAACAACTTCTAACTTAATGTTACTGAGCAGTTACTTAAAAGAATGGTATGTCTTTTAATTGAATGAATAAGATTGCCTAAGGCTACAAATGGGCTATTGAATACAGAAAAGAACAATTTACGAAAAAATAGCTCATAAATTTACAGATTCCTTCAAACAGCACCATTTTACGGTTACTTTATGTTTTTGCTATTTTATAAACAGTTTCTTAAAGTTCGTATATTTCAGGTGATCGACATGCCCTAGACAATTCAATGGGGCGTTGCGTGATATCGACCGTGAGAACAATATCCTCTTTATTATTTCTCTGTTCCTATTCAATTCTTTGTTTGACTGCCTAATGTATACTAAAACATGCAATGATATTGAACATAGAGAATACAATATGACATGTTTTTCTTTCGGCTAAAAAGACATCCATGATAGGTCTAAATTGGTAGGCCCCTCACTAACATTGTCTGCATGTTTTGTACAGGAATAACAGATAATCAAGACAAAAGAAAGCTGAAAAAAAGTTGTATTATTTAATTTAAAATGATGAAGAATTATTCCACAAGGGAGGATATCCTAACCGAAGAGCTATCAAACCGAAGTCTCTGGTTTAAGATATTTGAATGCACACTGACTGCACTGGTTTTAATGGCAGCCTTTACTGGCAACCTTTTGGTGTGTTTAGCGATCAAGAGAAACGCCAAACTCCGCAAGATACCAAACTACTACATTGCATCACTAGCGGTCACGGATCTGCTCATGTCCTCACTTGGAATGCCGCTGACTCTTGTTGCTAACATTGCAGATGGTTGGATTTTAGGGGAAGCCCTTTGCCAATATCAGGGTTTCGTTGGCACCGCACTGGGAGCTGCATCTCTTCTCAATATAGCGTTACTAGCTCTGAATCGATACCTTAAAATCGTGCATGGACAAGACCATATAAGATACAGCCAAACCAAGACGAAAACCGTAATTTGGAGTATAGCCTTTGTATGGAGTCTTGCGCTTTTGTCTCCTACAACCTATCTCGCCACAGGTGAAAGGTTCAGCTTTCATCCAGGTAAAGTCTTATGCATCTTCGATCTAGATAACATGAACAGATACTATGCCATTTTGGCTACTTTTTGCTTCGCTATGATTCCTTTCGGAGTTACTACTTTTTGCTATTACAAGGTTTTTCGGGCCGTAAGACAACACAACAAAACGGTTGCTCAATTGAGTTCTGACGCAAGAAAACGAGCGGTTGATGAGATCAAACTTGCAAAGCTTCTGTTCATCACTTTGCTGGGTTTTGTGACTTGCTGGATCCCTTTTGTGGTTATAGACGTAATTGGTATGTTCAAAGGGCAATATGCCTTTCCAAAAGGTGTCTATACTCTATATTCCACTTCAGTAGGGCTTTCCTCCTGTGTGAATCCAGTGATATACGCAGCGCTGAATCGGGAATTCAGAACGGAATTTAAGAAAATCTCTACAGCCTGTCTCTGCAAGATTTCTCCTCCGAAGATTCCACTTTACCGATCGAAATATAATTTGGATAAGCGAGAAGGAAAGGAAACAACGAAAGAAAGTCCGATTTCATAATGTTTCTTTCTTATTATGGCACAACTGCTTGTCTCGGTCGCGCATTTCTCTCAGACATTTGCTGTCATAAAATTAGTATAGGTAATAGCGCATGATTTGTGGTGATATTTGGCATAAATACCACGAGTGATATTTCAAAATTGTCTCAAATTTCACTGGCCTAACGGCTCGTGAAGTTACGTATAACAATTTTGAAATATCACTCGTGGTATTTATGCCAAATATCACCACAAATCATGCTGTTATTTGTTTATACTACTACCCGGAAAAGGTTTGTAATTTTCACATGCAGGTATTTCAAATTAAGCTGAAATACCACTGCTCTAAGCCAATCAAATTGCAGAAATTTCTCATGTAGTAGTATAACTCTTATAACAAACAAATACTTTTTTGGTCGTTGGTTAGGGATAATAAAAGTACGTACAATTATTACAGTTGCCTCCCGATAACTAAAAAATACAAAGGAAACCAAAAAAGGTTTGAGTTAAAGGTGGATGTAAATAACCAGAAATTAAGAAAAAACAAATGAAGTGTTTTGTGTACATATAGTCGTCAAGCATCGTATTAAATAGGTTTATCAGAATTGTTACGAAGACAATTTACCAACAACATCGGATAACACTTGAGAGAAAAAATAAATGAAGCGTTTTGCGCAAAGTATCACGATCCAAGGAGTGCAAGCTCTATCCTGGTAAGGGAACAACTATCTCTTAGCCAACCCAGAAAAGTTTCAGCTACTTACAATCAACCCGAGAAATATATGTTGAAACAGACAATGATAATCAAGACATATCCGTAGATGGACATGCTATTGAGAGAATGGGGGAAATAAAGCTTTTAGGAGTTCAAATCGATGAAAAACTGAATTTTACCAGTCATATAAGTGAACTATGCACTAAGACCAGTCAAAAAGTAGGGGTCCTAGTGCGGCTACGCAACTTGATACCTTGTAATGCTAAACTATCACTTTACAAGTCTTCAGTTCTGCTCCATCTAACCTCTGTCATCTAGTCTGGCACTTTTGCAATGCATCGGATAGGAGAAAGCTCGACCGGATTCAGAAACGAGCGCTAAGAGCGATGTACAAAACCAGATCAGCGTCCTATCAAGAACTGCTAGACCGCGCCAAACTACCGACGTTGTACAATCGGCGTCTACAAGATATTGCCAGGTTGATGTTTAAAGTTATAAGCACAGTCTCGTACCCATGAATATTTCTGACTTCTTCTTCAGTATAACTTACGGAATAGTGACTTCGAACTTCCAAGATTCGAAACTGTACGATTTGGTAGGAATACAATAAAATATATGGGACCTCTCACTTGGTCGAAGTTGCCAAGACAATTAAGAATGATAGAAACTCTGAACTCGATTAAGAGGAATATTAGGAAAGTTGACCTTTCAACTCTTGTAAATATTTAGACATCTTTAAGCTTTTTTAACAAATTTTGTAAATAATTATATAATCTAAACGCAAAATAAAAATAAAACGCAGGCCCAACGACTGAGGACTCGGAGGATTCCACGATCGGCTTCTTCACCTCGACACGAATGTACCTCGTTCGGAAAGCGTCACCTTCTGGGTGACAATCGCTCCTGTGCCCAGACGATCAATGTAGGCACCATTCGACAATAATACGGCCACGATTGGTTACGTTTCTTTGTACGGCTACAATAGGGAGCTTAAGCAACGAGAACGGCAAAAAAGCTATAGGTTTAGATTGACAAAACAACAACTTTGCACGTGCATCACGCTCTCTTGTACATTTTTTTGCCGTCGTTGCACGACTACAACGTGAAAGTGTTTAATTTTACGATTTGTCGAGGACGTGAACACAAGACAACGACTTTCTTTTTCTCTTCCTGAACTTTGATACAGTCCTTTAGAATTCAACTCCAGAAAAATCTGTCAACATTTGACAAATTGAACGAGTTGGAATAAGCGCGATAAAGCTTGAAGTAGCGCGAATTCACTCTTTGAGTGACGTTTTCGTAGCCGTCGCCGTCTTTGTTGCTTGAGCTTTCTAACGGCACCACCAAAAAAATGGAATCAACGGAAATAAGCTTTTAAAGACTTATTGAAACACAAACCTTTGATGCCTGTGTAGTCTTCTTGGACGGTGAGGTACCGCTTGGTGCGTAGGACGCCTTCACGTGACTAATGACCTGTAATGAAATAATGGCACATATACCATGATGGCTAAGCCAATACAATACAATACAATACAATACAATAAGAGTTTATTGTGAAAATACACTTAGCTACAATAATGGTGTGCTTTCACAGACGGAACCGAAATCGGGGTCTGTGAAAGCATGCCAGCTAATTTACAGGTATTCCACAAACACAATAAAATTAAGAGTTAAAAAAACTAGATATGGAATATTCTATAATTAAAATTATGACAATAAAATCTTAATAAGTATATCTTATATCTAAATAAATACTAAATTCAATAAAAAAGCATCGAAATTATAAAAATTGCACTAGGTCAACTTGGCTAATGGATCTCTTAAAAGACTTAAAATTCGTTATATTTCTAAACATGTTCGGCATTGAATTCCAGAGTTTCGGACCAATATAACGGACTGAGTTCAAGCCATATGTAGTAGACTTTGGCTAGGGTAGCGAGAGGATATAGTCACCTCTTAAATTGTAGCTAACGTTCTCCTATGAACTATCAGGTCTTGTATACTTTTGGGCGCTAAAGAATTGTGGACGGCATTAAAAATAGACAGTGTGATTTTAATTAATCTTTGTTGTTTTAAAGATGAGAGGCCTAATGCGTTGAGAAGCTCCGAGTAGCTTGTGGACTTATCCCTGAAAACAAACCTGATCGCGCGCTCATTTAACCTTTCCAATTTGTCTGCAGCACTTTTACTGCAAAAATTCCAGGTTTCACTGCAATAATTGAAGTGAGGAAGGATAAATGCTAAATATAGGTCGCGCCTTGTTTCGAAGGGAAGCATTTTCTTCATTCTTTTAAGAACAGCCAATCAGAGCTCTAGAATTTCAATCAGTGCTCTAGAATTTCATTATCCAATGATTAAGTTTTAATAAATATGCAATAAATGGAAATACTGAGCTACCTTCCCAAAACAGAAAATAGTGATTCCATGGTCCCTTAAAAAGCTATTTCATATTAATTCTACCATCTTGTCCAGATTAAAAATGATGGGAATGAAGCTTATTTATTCCATTTTTCTCGTTTGGTCAAACGCGGGAGTCACGCTAAACTATTCTAAACTTTCTGCAACAACTTTTTGCAACTTGCTTTGTTGCAAGACAGGTTTGATTGGTTGGTGATAAAACGCGCAACATCGCTATTCAACTCGTTTTGCGGCAGTATTGCACGTTTTGTTTCCCATTTTACCGTAGACTTAGGGACAGTTCAGAGAGATACTGTTTAATGAGTTTTTAAGAAGCTCCGTTATACCTCTTCCATGGAGTCCGTTCCAAACGAGACAGTTCCCAGATGAAGACGCTTGAAAACCTGTTTTTAAAAAAATGTCGAATCGTTTTAAAATACAAAAGCAAAATCACAAACATTCCTTGTTTCTCTTGTTTTGCGGTGCAGAACTAGATAGCAGGAAAATAACTAGAAGATTCCAAACGCTTAACGTAAACCAAACAGCCGAGCGCGAATTCCTTTTTGAATAGAAAGCAAGAAGACAAAAACCAAACAAAAAAAAGCACAAGATAACGTATCCCGGTTAGTGTCCTGCAAGCAGCCGCTAGCTAATTTGGACGGTATATATATTTACGGGCCAAATCACCTCAGACAAAGTTGAAGACAAGGACGCAAGTTCCTAAAAGCAATCGCTCTAACCAAGCTAGTACAGCCTCAAAAGCTTTTGAATTCCTCGCTTCTAATTAGTCACAAAATATTTTCTGATAATCAGAAAGGGGCACTCCCCAGCCTTGTTGTACAAGCTTTGTCTGAAGTGATTCTGCCTCCGGAGAATATTCAAAACCCCTTATTGCCCCTAGAGCTCAGATGATGCAGTAATTACCATTTCATTTTCTGTCAGGGTCCCTGTCTTATCAGACAACAGGTATCCTATTCGCCCCAGTTCTTCGGGAATCGTACTGCTACGGACCACTGTGCCGGGAATGTCTTTATCGTGTACAATAAACCAAGAGTACACTACTTTTCCCATATCCAGGCTTACTCGGAGACTGCAAAGAACACAACAAAATTAACGAGCTAGGGCAAAAACGACTCGTACCAGGTCCCACGTACCCCTCCCCTAAGCCAACATTAACACTTACTTCTCACTTAGGGAAAAATGATGGCTTAGGGGAGGGGTAGGTGGGCAGTTTCCCACAAACGTATGATGATCCGTACAAATTAGGGACTGAATGACAAGATCGGGACATTCGATGAGGGATTCAAGCTAACGCAGGATAAACGCTAATTTTCAGGCCCTGGTTGTTCAAAAGCTGGATAGCGCTATCCACCGGTTAAATCACTATCTAGTGGATAAGTATTAGAAAAACTAATTACGCTATCCAGTGGGTAGTGATTTATCCGATGGATAGCGCTATTCGCCTTTTCAACAACTGGGGTCAGGGCGCAGTGGATTAGCCGTATTCAGAAAATGCGAATACTGGAGCGTTATATTTTGAACTTCATGCTGTGTACAGTGAAACTCACAAGACTGCCTACCAGTCCTCTTTCGAATTTTACCAGGCCCCAAGAGTAGGGTGTTCGCTTGAGGTGGGATTGTGCGTCTGGTTGCTCTTTTGTTTTCTGCACCGTAATGTTTAGGGAGTTATTATAACTCCAAAAATGTAGTACAAATTTTAGGTACAGGATAGCCCCTTTTTGGGGGTTACTTTAACTCCTAATTTAACTCCGAATTTGGGGTCATTTTTACTCCTGAAAAAGAGTTCTTTTTACTCCCAGTCTGGAGTTAAAATTACTCCGAAACGGAGTTATTTTTACTCCTTACATGGGTTGTTTTTACTCTTTTTGGAGTTAATTTAACTCTGAACGAGGAGTAAAAATTTTAGGTACAGGATAACTCCTTTTTGGGGGTTATTTTAACTCCTCAATATCTGGGGTCACTTTTACTCCTGAAAAAGAGTTCTTTAAACTCCTTTTTGGAGTTAAAATAACTCCCCCAAAAAAAACTTCACAGTAAGGAGTTATAAATTTAGCCCCACTAGAGGAGTTATTATAACTCCTTGAAAATTACTGTGCATGTTTATCTTTTAGTTAAGGATTCAGCCATAGAGTCGTCGTTTTCAGGATAAAAAGAATTGACGTCTTTAATATTTCTTTGACAATAAAAGAAACAACTGTTATACTTGCAATGTTAAAATGTTATATAATTTCTAGGGGACTATCTCTCCACTCTCAGAACGCTAGAAACAGTGGCGTTTCTGAGAGTTTCATTTCAAGACCGGAGACGGAAATTAAAATTAACAAGTACCCTTACTCCAATCCAACGCGGTAACTGTCATAACAAATGAGACTACTACACGCACGAAAGGCACGAGCAATTTTTACTGGGCCGTTTAAACCTCTCAGATTTAAACTTTTATTACCGGTAACTAAAAGGAAAGCCGTAGTGAATTAATGAAGGTAAAAACACGGTATCTTATTTGCTGAAGACATTTTAACACTGGAAATATCCGTCGTCTTTATTTCATTACATTTACAGTTCATTACAATAAATTCTCATTATTTTATTTTATTTCTTAAGTTAGTGTAAGCTCTAAATGTAACAATAGCAATGTCCATTTTTCTCTGATGAAAATGAAGGGACCAAATACTGGATTTAGTTTTATGAATCCGGTTCGAAAGATTCTTTCAATGAGCTCCTTTTCGTTTATCGTTCAGTGCAATAAAGAGGTCTTTTGGGTGCGTTCCGTGTTTCAGGCTCTCGGCTTATACAGGGACCAAGCCAGACACAAGAGCTCAAATAATTTTAACGTTGACCAACACAAGTCACGTAAGCAACGTCAGGTATCACCAGGTTGACCACTTACAAGTTGCGAAAGGTCTTCGCTGGTATAAACTGCTAAAGGAATAATATTTACAACCGCCACTAAAATGTGTCTTTTCCATCGTCTTCCCCATACAGCCATGACAGCCAAATTCTGATAACGAGTCTCGATCGCCAGTGAAACACTGGTGAAAAACCATTCAATCACCAGCTGAACTAAGGTGAACTTGGCAAATAACAGTAGTATCATTAAAAGGGAGCTATCTTGCAAGCAAAGAAACTTAAACAAGTAAATAAAGCCATTTACGGACACTATAGCAGTCGATTCAGACATCATGCTCATGATAGCGATATCAGCCATGAGTCTCTCACGGCGAGGAGTACGGAAACTTCTCCAAGGAGCTGATTTCCTTTTCCAAAGCAAATAAAAAATGTGATCAATGAACACCATTGTACTCCGTTCTATAACTTCTGCAGCGCCGTGGATAATTCCTATAATAGCAATGTTCTCTAGACTGTCAAGATCTGCTTGCAAAGCTCGAAAGATAATCGCTGACCCATAATACAACGGCACCAGCAAGGTATAAGAATACCCCGGATGAGTAATGTTATATAGTCGTTGAACACATATTCGTGAGATTATCTTCACAACGACTCCAATGAGAGGAAAAAATAGGGCAAGTAAAAGTTTGTTTTTACTCTTAACGTAATACGGATAGACAAAGTACTGACCAATCTGTCCGACAAGAAATGTAAAACAAGCCGTTGCTAACATCTGAAGGAACAAAATGAGCTTCTTTATTTTTCTTGAACGGGGGCAGAAATGATTCGTCACCACGTACTGTTCCAAACAAACGCTGATGATGAATATCGTGTTTAGTGGAAACCAAGTTAAAAAGCTGGAAATGCTCACATGAGATAACTTTAAGGCTCGTAGAAACCTGCGATAGAGTGCGTCCAAGCAGTATGATAGAAATGAAACCAGAAAGAGCTTTCCTTTCACCCCTTTTAACTGAAATGGACGAAAGAGGAAGAGCAAAACAGTGAAGGGCCAAATATAAAGAAAAATACAATAAAACGCACCAGTAAATGCCCATTGCGTTTGCAGTCTATTTGATTTAGGTCCACAGTTTACGGTCGATAACAAATTAAAACAAGCGTAACAAATAACCGTGTACAATGTACCAATGAAAGTAGCGGCGAGCAGCGAGATCAAAGCTCCAGTACTCAGTGATTTGCCTACTGTACAGAGAACGGATGGTCTCAGAAGCTTCCAAGCCATTGCCTTGTCCTTGTTGCGATCTTCCTGTGTAATTTCTTCGATGGAGCAAGCATTGATAACCTTTATATCAAGATTTCTAGACGCCAGATAATCCCACGTGGTAGATTCTCTTTCGCTGTATTCTTGATAGATAAGCTCATCAACGGGACGACAATACCATTCTCGACCTGTACTTTCTAGAGGATTGTAACCAAAAGATTCTTCAGTGAATTCCGGTTCCTCTGGATTGTAGTGCTCTGTTACGCCTCGGGTAAAACTGAACAAAATTTGACCAACTACCTCTGCTAGTATACCCATTTTCACCAGAGAACTCTACACGCACTGTAAGATAGTTTTCTTGGTTAGAGCTTATAGCACCGCTCCACCTTAATAGTCATGGTCAATTGATATATCCGTTCTTGTTGTTGATAATTTTAGAGCGCTGTAATTATAGCAGCAAACAGGTTATTTATATAAATAAATACGTTAGTTCCCACACCTGACCGTTCTTTCTCAGCATGTTTCTACGCATGCAGGGTTCAAAATGAAATCACAGCTTTTAGCCTGAATCTGAAGGCTTTTTTTGTCAAGGCCTATTTTGTTCCCTGCTGTCAATAATGAATCACTTTTTTCACTTTCTGAGATTTGCGTGTATGACACGTGACCAAAATCTTCCTGAACTGAAATTTCACTTTCTTCCTTGGGAAACCCTGAAAATATAAAGTAATTTTACGAAGATTTCGCACGTAACACATGCTTTGAACTGCCAAACTATTGTCACCGTCGGAATCTTTATTTTAATTAACGTGTTTCATTGCAACAATTGCCTTCAAACAAAGACAAACAGTCGCGCTTCTTCACTCAAACTAGGGCGGAGCACAAACATGAGAAATCCGTTCTGTTGAGCAATATGAATACAAATCTGACTGTAATTTGAACGAGAGAAAAGGCTTCACAAACGGCACTAAACAAGTTTTGGTGCAAAATAAATCTTGATTACAAGTGTAGAAACATAAAGGCGCTAACGCAACAGTTTGTCTAGACAAATTTGCACGTTTCATGCTAGCCTCCTACGCAGACGTTCGTCACGCGTTCCTGCCCACGAACCTTGGCGAAAACTTTAAAATCCTCAAGAAATGCCAAGGGAAACTAGAGTGTTTGATACAGGAGATGTTGATAATAAAAGATAAAAGACCTATGCTAAACACTCAAGCGGACTCCACCCGTGCGAAAATTTTCATTTAATTATAATTTGTCCATTTTCACGCTTTAATTTACATGCACGTTTCGCACTTTCTTTTTCTATAAATATTACCACGAATCATGTTAATTTCTCATCTCTTGATAATGATGACATGAAGCCATCGAAACGTCAGGTTTCTTTTATATCGTTATTTTTGTTTCAAATAAAGCTTATTGAACTGGCTATCTTAATAAACCAACGGTTTTTTAAAAGAAATGCACTATCGATTTTTTTGTTCGGTTTTGTAACCCAAGCATTCGAATCAACTACAACTCAAAACGATTTTTGTTTTTTATCAATTTGACTTGGTCGAGTCTCGGAAGTCAAAGCGCTAAAAAAAGTTGCGGGGGTTTTGCCATCACTGATTAGGCAGATAAAAGTTACAGAACAATTTAGAAAAAAGGCTGACAAATGGTAAGATGATCATGCAAAAATGCCTCTCAACAAAAACGTTAAAAAAAAATTTCCCGCCCCGATATTTGTTGCTTGAGCATTAAGGTAATACAACGTATCTTCCAAAATTCTGGGTCAATTGAACAAATTTCTCAGTTTAAGTTTAAGCTTTCGAAAGCTGATTCGGGCGCTCGCATTAAAATCGATAAAACGGAACGCACTACATCACTTGGACACAAGACACCCCTGAAAGTATTCGGTAAGTAACTTACAAAGCTGAAGTATTTGGCAAATTATTTATTCATTTACACGGCATTTCAAGACTAACCTCAAAGGAATTATGTACGAAAACAGTAGAACGTAGCGAAAAAAGTAGCGATACCACGGTCCATTGAAACCCTAGAAGTCAATAAAACAACATAAGTCATAACTGGGAACATTTCACTCACGACTTTCCCGTTTACTTCTTATTTGACTGATAAATTGTCGTAGCTTGTACCCGTGGAAGATGTTTGAGGGGGAAAAAGGTGAAATTATGGGGCGCGAGAACACGATGGGCGCTCAACCTCTTTCGTGCACCCTGCAGGTACTTGGCACGCATGTCAACTAATATGGGTGAAAGGTGTTGGAAAGGGAAGAGAGAGGTGAAATTATGGCCTGCAAGAACACGACCCCACTTTTCATGCACTCGAGCACGCATATCAGCTAGTATGCGTGGAACGCGTTTGAAGTGGAAAAGAACGGGAAATTATGGCGAGCGAGAAAAATAGTGGGCGCTTCCCCTGCTTCTCAAGCACCCTTCATGTACTCACGCGCGCACGTCAGCTAGTATGCGTGGAGGGCGTTTGAAGGGGAAGAGAACGGGGAATTATAGCGCGCGAGAAAATGATGGTCGCTTCCCCTCTTTCTCGCGCACCCTTCATGTACTCGCGCGCGCATGTCAGCTAGTATGCGTGGAAGGCATTTGAAGGGGAAGTGAACGGGGAATTATTGCGAGGAAGAATAGGATGGGCGGTCCCCCTCCTCTGCGCCCCCTTTATATACTCGCGTGCCTTAGGTTAGTTTCCCTTTCCATCCCTTTAAACGCCTGCCGCGCAGGTTACAGGTCAGCTTTCTCGCGGGTGGCAATTTTCACGCGCCTGCTTACACAATTGGCTCACTCTGATATCCCTGAGAAAGTGCTATACTACTCGTAGCCTATGTTTAGCGATTTCATGCTCTTTTTAGTTATTTAATAATTAAAAGCAATTTAAAAGAAGGTGTCAGATATGGCCTAGTGGTCGTAAAGTAGATGTAACATGTACCTTAAGTGTCACCATAACGAAAGAAACAGCCATAGTTGCTGCGAACAGAACTTTAGTCAAGTTGTTAACCTCTGCATCAATTAGGCCAAACTAAAGGGGGGAAAACATGTGTAATTAAATGACCGGTAACAGCATTACGACAATGTACACAAGCAAAGTGATGAGAACAAAACTGAATCAAGGTAAGCACTTTGGCATTGGACTGATTTATTTGAGGCTTTCAAAATTAGCCTTCCTCAGGCGTCTCAGCTGTACTGTAATAAAATACTTTAACAGCTCAGTAGTATTCTAAAATATTCGTCAGATCATAATTATACGGTGAGTAATAGGAGGAGTGGTTTATAGAGGAGAGGGTTGAATCAACATCAAAATCAGTTACTCATTGTGGGGTTACTTAGCCAGTGTGGCAGGGAACACTGGGGAGGGGGAATGGGGGTGAACAACACAAAATTTCCCCTACGCCTTCGTGTTTTTCACACCCCTCTAATTCCAGTTCCCCCTGTTCCCCCCCCCCCTCACCCCTTTTATGCACACTTAACAGGCTGCTAAGGGTCATTGGAATCGGTAGTTGATTCATAGTACAAACCAAAATTTAAGCCTTTCACCCTATTCATCTCTCTCCAGAGGCAGATTGAGCGTTTTGATGGCGGGGGGGTGGGGTGGGGATGAACTGTCTGAGGTAAGAAGGGGGTGTCATTTAATCAAAGAAATATATGACTAGATACAGTCGACCTTCCATCAAGCAATCGCCCTCTAGGCCAGAACAGGCTGCTTAATAAAGGAAGGCCACTTAAGAAAAGGCTTTGCTTACAGGGCCGGTAGGTCAGGACGAGCGGATTTTGTTTCTGGGTAAGGAGCTTTCAAAGCCGACTTACCCGCCCAGTGGGCAAGGGTTTAAGCAAGTCATCCTCAAACTAAATTATAGGGAGCTTAAGCAACGACGACGGCGACGGCAAAGAGGACGGCAAAAAAGCAACAGGTTTGATTAGCAAAACAACAACTTTGCACGTGCATCACGCTTTTTGGTACATTTCCTTGCCGTCGCCGCAAGACTACGACGTGAAAGCGCCTAAGTTCACGTTTTGTCGAGGACGGGAACACAAGGCAACAACTTTCTTTTTCTTTTCCTGAACTTTGATACCTGAGTCCTTTAGAATTCAACTCCAAAAACATTTGCCAACATTTGACGAAGTAAACGAAATGGAATAAGCGCGATAAAGATTGAAGCAGCGCGAATTCACTTTTTAACTGACGTTTTCGTAACCGTCGCCGTCGTTGTTGCTTAAGCACCCTATTAGGTAACCGCTCAAGTCGCCCGAAAGTCATCTCGCCTGAAGTTATATCGCCCGAAACCTGAGTCATGTCGCCTGAAACTCATAGTCAAGTCGCCAGAAATTTTAACAAAGAGTGTATGTAATGAGACAAAACAAGCGGGAAAATGGTGTAATGAAGTCTCGTTCTTTAAGCAATGATGCCATGGTGAGACCAAACAAGCGGGATGAATGTGTATCATATCCCGTTCTTTATGCGATGAAGAGACGAAACAAGCGATATGAATGTGTAACACATCTCGTTCCTTTAGCCTTGATGAAACGAAACAAGCACGTCAAATGAGTAATACATCTTGTTCTTAAAACGAAAGAATAGCGATTAAGATGTTAGGATTTTGCTGGGCATGATAAAATTTCGGGTGACTTGACTAAACATTTCAGGCGACATTACTTCGGGCGAGGTGACTTTGGGGCGACTTGACCTCAAGCCCTCAAGACAAGCTCTTAGTAACCCCGGGCAAACAAAATGTGAGAGCTTCTTTAATACCAAAAAGGACAAGCTGGAACTGAAGTTTTTTTCGAGCTGTGTGTTAACTGTGACTTACTGGTAATAGGGTCCACTGGAATTCTGTTAACTGCATGATAGCCTGCGTAGCAGGCGCTTGGAAGTTGTGGATGAAAGAGAGAACGGGCTCGCGCGAGGGAGACACGCTTGTACCCACTACTTCCAAGCGCCTGCTACGCAGGCTAATTGCATGATAAATACAAGGCTGGTGCTGAGGTTCAACTGTTAATTCATACCTTTGTTTCAGGGTTTGATGTATTCATTACGCTTCTTGTTTCTGAGCCAGTGTATACAACAACTCCAATAGCAGTTCCTAATAGTAAAACAAACCCATGATATGATAGGGTAGCATCAAACTAAGGATAACACTTCTGATAAACCCATGCCTATATCAGCTTAACGAGGCCAGGGCTCTCAGTAAGGGCTGGCGACCAGGGATTTCTCCTGGCTACTATGTTATAACAGCATGACCCCAGCTACTTTCAAACGAAACGAAAGAAAAATAGTGCAAAAAGGGCTTCCCAACAGCTCAATTCTCTGCCTGCTTATTGCATATATGCGGCAATTTGAAATCTTAGAGACTGCTCTTTAAGCACAGACCAGCTCAGGGAAATGAGGCGGGGGATACACACAAAATTTTAATGTGACACGTACGTGGTACTACAGTCGACTCCCGATAATTCAAACCTGAACTGAATTTAAGGGAAATAGAAAAAAGTTTGAGTTATCGGGAGTTCGAGTTATCGAGGGTAAAGTTATAAAGAAAATGATCTGAAGGAAAATGAAAAGTGCTTTGAGTTAGCGGAAGTTTCGAGTTATAGAGGGTTCGAGTTGACTGTATAAAATTTGGTTCTTTTCTTGAACCTAACATGCCACCAAATGACAAAAAAAAAAGACACAAAGGTGGACTATTAAAAATATTGGAGCAGAAATGAAGAAAACTGCAAAAATTAAACCATGGTAAAATACTGAAAGAACGATGGTTTCCTCCACAGTAAACTGTGGAGGAAACCACAAAGTGAGACGTAGGTTCCTGAAATTCAAACTAGAGACATAGGTACCCTTCTACCTCTTAAAAAGAACTCATTAGGAAACAAAAAAATGAAAGAATGGAGTGAAGTAAAACGTGAGCATCAGGATTTTTTCCCCACGCACTACTCTTTTCCTTTTTTCGTAACCTCTATGTTTTAGAGCCACCTACAGTGGCACAGAAAAAAGATTTTATTCTCTTTAAATAAAAAACTAAATTTGTGACTCAAACCTGATGCAATGACAGTGTTAGCCCACATTGTGTTCTCTATACTGAGTGGAATTTCAGTCCTCTCTCCATCATACTGAAAAGGAATTCACATAATATTACTTTAAAAAGTAGCTTGAGTATAGCATGTTTAGTCTACAGTGAGATCTGCACATCAGGCAGACCCCATATTTATAAAAGGGGACATTCCTTTATGTGGACACAAGCATTTAGTGAGTCTATTTACATATTTTCAATTGAATGTGAAACTTACAAAACCATGAACACCAGAAATACCTCTACAATGCCTTTCCTGGCCTTAGGTATTCACAGTTTTCTTAGTTTGACAGTTATAAAATATATAATGGTAATATCCCAGGGTGTCTGCTTACACAGGTTTCACTGGAGAACCAATGTGAAGAATAATTACATGCATGATCATACCTAATTTCACTGAAAAAAGTATTGCTTTTCCCATTGGTAATATGCAATCTACATTGCATTATGGCAAAGCATCACAAAATTGATAACGTCTTTAAGTAACAATGAGACATGGTAACGCCCACAATTTCATTAACATCTTTTGAAAACAAGTCTTATGTTGGTTTGAATGAATATTAAATTGTTCAGTATGATTTATTGTGAAGTTCACTAAGCTTAAAACTATTAACAATGAACACTGTGTCTTGAATTAGTGATTTCGCCTTTCTACAGAGAACAAGAGAGACATGTACCAATAAAAATACAAATGCATGTACAGATAAGGGATTGTTTATTTAATATCAATCCCACTGTCCTTATGTTATTACCACTGTCCAGCATAAGTCTCTAGAACTGGGTAGCTTGAATATGGTATATACTGCATGTGATGGAACTTACCCGTGTAAATGTGCCAACAAAAGAATGAATGTCTTTCTGTGGCTTTTCTGCATAAACAGAGGCACTGATGTTCAACAAATCCTAAAGCAAAGCAAAACCATTAAAACAACTAAACTAAATTTGCCACACAAGTTCTATCTTTTAGCTACAATCTGTAAAATAAGTTAGTCATCCATCTCATAATGCATTAAAAGCAACATCAATAGCCCTTATGCATGTTCACAACAGATGAGTAAATTTCACCACCATTTTGAAATTGTAAAAGTTGAGAAATTTTGCATATTAAATGAATTCCCAAGAAGTGAAGAAGTTTGCTTACAAACAAGGCTTGTTGGTGAAATTTACTCATTTTCAAGATGTATTCATGCATAAGAGCCATTAAAACTCTTCCCCATGAGTGAGTACTTTACACAGCCATGTACCTTAATCAACCTCAAGACCACTCATGACTCGACTTCAATATTGTTAGTACAGTCATGTCTTTTTCTATTATTAATAATACCTCATTCCACACCCGTATTTCACTTACATCATCACAAGGCAATCTTTGGCATGGTGGTACAGTTAAACGGAGTTTCCAGTCTGTTTCACCATCCATTTGATCTGTTCTTAGAAAGCAAGCCCCTGAAAAGAAAATATTTTTTTACATCAAAATTCATGGGTAGTTGGATAACCTTGTTTGGCATATGCCTTGACATCATCGTAAGATGTATCAACAACAGTTAAAAGGTGAGACAAAAACAAAACTGGGCCAACAAATTAAATTCATATAAATGGGAAAAATTTCAATCACTAGATGTAAAAAAGTCCTATCTATAGACGTCTTGTGAATCAGTTTACCATTTTTTTCTGACGTTCTCAGGAATACTATATCAGCTGGAACTCTTTGATCCTGTCAAACAAGGAAATTTAATGAGTCAACAGCTCAGGAATACCTTTTAATGCAATAATTGTGACCAAATCTTTTTATTATATTATGGATGGTAGTATATCATGTAAAAGATACGCTATGATAAAGATATTAACTAAATCTTGTATTGTGATTAGCCAGTTATTAAATTTAATGCAAGCAAGGTGGAGTTACAATAAATTATTACCTTCTCCATGGCCATGTTAATCTCTGCAAGGGCAATTTTCTCAATATTTCACCATACATCAGCAAAATACTTCATTCATGACCAGTTGGTGTATACTGATGGCTGCACATTAGCTTTTAATCTTTGTGTTTATATCAAAAAGGAGCTTGAGAGACATCTAGCAACCAACCTCACTTCACGCTCACACAATAAGAAGGAACAGTTCAAAAAATTCCCTCAGTGGATGCATTTTCACCTGATTAAGGGTGAAAGAATGAGTTGTAGGTAAAACCTTCTAGTAAACCAGTATTCAAGCTAGGTTGATTCAGAATTCCCTTTGTCTCCAAGCCCCAGTTCAGAGGAGACAAATAAAATTGTGGTTCAACCTGAGACTGGATTTTACCCACAACATATACTGCACATACCTTTTCAACAATAATGAGATCTGATACTTTAATGGCTGAGCTTGGCACGTTAACAATACCTAGCAAACAAACACAACAACACATCCAACATATTTTTCATTTTTTGGAAATTTAATTTGTGTTACCTTTTAACTCACAAGAATGCCTTGAACTAAAAAAAATTAACAAACAGCAACTAGTAAGTTTCGGGTGTCAATTGTTTAGTTTTTTCCCTGGGTGGGGCTAGCTCCTTGCACCCCTCTGGGGTACAGAGGGTGCACTGGCCCTCACGTTCATTGGAATAGCGTTTTAATTTAATAGGTGTCTCAGTTCTTCAAGCTTTAAAATGCTTTAATCAAATAAATGGCCAATATGCCTTGCAGCCAATTTTATCCCACAGTGGATGCTTCACTAATTTGTATCCCAGCAAAAGCTTGACTAAATTTAACAATCCTGCCAATAAGGCTTCAGCGTAAATGCAAATTTCTGCTGCAACTTTGGATATCATGGGGCTTTCCTGCCTGTCGACTAACAAGTGCCAAATGAGGTGACAAGACTAAATGATCGATCCCTTATGTAACTTCCTTTCGTCTCTCCTAATTTTAACTATACTTTATTTAGGTTGATAGAGTGAAAAAAAAATTTTTCTTTTCTTTTTTTTTTGGGGGGGGGGTGTGGGAAGGCTCTGCAGGAAAAGAATTATTTATTTGATTGAGGAAATATGTTTAAATAATAATAATATATTAACGCTAAAAAATTAGTCATGATGCACGGCTTGAAAAATGACCTGTCTGATCGTACAGGACAAGCAGATTTTCTTCTGAGCAAGTACAGTAACTTTTAAAGCTTACTTGCCTGATGGGCAGAGGTCCAGGCAAGTCATCCTCTAACAAAATTAACTAAGAAGAACACAAGAAGTGACCTTACCCAAAGACAAGCTGGAATTCAAGTTATTGTGATGATGGTGATGATAATGACAATGTAAATAGTGTTGATAAGACCCCAAGTCTGAATTAGCTAAGATTAGTTTATTTTTGACTTCTGTGTGACAACAAATGACTTCTTGCTCTGTTTCTACATAGTATACTGTGACCAAAAACTACATACTATCATTAATAGTGACCTTTCTTTGTAAGTTTCTTGTACTGTTGGGAGTTGACTTCCCTATCTCTTCTAAACCTTATAAAGTCATCATAAGCTTCACGGCACATTGTCACAAACACAACAAAAGCCTGTAAAATAGATAAAAATAGATTGAGTTTTTTTCTAAACAATCAAAACATTTGTTTAGCAAATTATCACTATTTTAACTGTATGGGACTTACAATGCAATTTTAAATTTAAATCATTTATTTCATACTATTTATTTAATACAAGTGTAAATGTCATTGATTGCAATGTTGTTGTTTTTTTTATCAATTTGCATCCATTTATATAGTTTTTTTAAAATTGATTGTAAAGAGCATTTGAAAACTTTTAGTTTAATTTGCTCCAGAAATGAATAAATTAACTACACAACTACATAAATTACCACTCATAAGCCCCAAACTTATAGGCCCACCTACCTGGAAAAAAGTACATACGATAATAAGCCCACCCCTCCCCCCTCCAATAAGCCCCCCTCCCACTTATAAGCCCCGCAGTTAAAGGCCCACCTACCTGAAAAAAAAAATACATCTGATAAAAAGCCCCCACTACCATAGATAGGCCCAACTCTTGCTTTCATTGAAATGAATTTGATTTTTATGATGTTTCGAAAATCCAGTAAAATTAATGCAAAACAATTTTTGATCAGCACTGTGTCTGCTGTAGCTTGTTTTGAAGTGCCTTTCCTATTCCAGTTATAAGCCCTGTCAGATATGTCCCTCCATTCATAAACCCTCCTAAGACCCCTTACGAAGATATACAGTATAAGCCAAGGCTAATAAACACAGCAGTTTATGGTAATTGCTTAATTGATTAATTAATTAACTATGCTTACCAGTGGCCCCCAGTAAGTATACAGTGCTCCAATTCTGAGATCAGGAATAAACTGTGAAGTAGCTACTACAAGGAAGTACATGTTCAGGAAGATTTTAAACTGGTTATACAGGGTCTGAAAACCAAAGAAGGATATTTGCTCTTAATAGATACCAAGTACAGTGTTCTCAAAAGGCCTAAACAGGATTAATACAGCTCTGTATGCAAAGTTCAGGGGCATACATGTACTGAATCTGAAAAACTGTAGCACATTAAACTGTTTTGGGGGGCTTTTCATTTGTTAATTGCCCCTTAAAGCCTTGGCCCCTGTTTGCCTATACACTGTACAGTACATGTAGGGCTCTCAAAGAATCTGCAAAAAAGGCATCAATTATGAGAATTGCAAGATTCTGCTGTCAATGAGGACAAGAGTTTCATAGAAAAAAGAGGAAGCTGGGCTGCTTAAATTTTGCAGGCTATTCACAGCAACATTGCTTATTTCTAACCATTCTTCAGACACCAAGAAAACTGATCAAAGACCACATGTTAATTGACCAAGCAAACATCTGGCTCAATTGTCCTGGACTGAATCTTCATGTCTTTCTGGGAAGATCAAGACCCTTCTTACATGCTATACTACTGCACTATGTTTGATGTTACAGTAACTGTGCCTTGTAACAAAATTTAAACAATGCCACAGATGACATCATGAATCTTTCATGCCACTTATGCCCTGAAAATTTACATCCAATATACCATAGACTAAGAAATATTTCAAATACTTACCAGTGGAATAAAAGTGATGATATTGTACTTTTGGTTACGAATAACATTACGAGGAAACTGCTGTGTGGCAGACTGAAAAAAATAAAGTATTTTAAACAGTCAATACTTTCACTTACTCAATAACATTGTTATTAGTTAAACCATGATAAAACATTAAAAATAGTGAATTAACTTCTTCCATATCCTCTTTTCGAGAGATTTGTATTTCAATGAATGTTAAGTACATGGACCTTTCTTCAGAGGTAGGTTGACTTGCTATTCTCTTTTCTTTTTGTGCTTAACTGATCAGGTCATTCAATTTCTTTTAGCACCAGCTGTATAGCTTTTCACCTGCTTTTTTGTTGGCTTTTTCTTTGTTTGTCTTTTTTTTCATTTGAGCTTGTTCTTTGCTAGTCTTGGTCCCAAATTTGACCTAACCAGGGACGATTGCATTTATTACTGAACCTAAGCTGCCACATGGCCCTGGTATGCAATTTCCCTGGATCAAGCACATGCTAGCTAGCTTCAGTCTCTTCCTCCTGGTTGGGGGGGGGGTGTCATTTTTTCTTTTGGTCAAGAGGGGGAATGTCAAAAGACTCAGTATGATGTGAGGGGATATGAAAAAATTTTCCGGCCCCTTAAAAAATATCTCTTTCCCCCAGCAACCCCCCCCCCCTTCCCCCGCTGCAGTATACATGCTGAATGCAGCCCCAGGACTTTATCATAACATAAACATAATACTTTCTAAAGGAAAACTTTTTAATAAGGGATTCGGCTACCTACACAATGATGTAGATTCTAATTACCCTAAAAAAATCAAATTTTTTTGTTTTTTTAATTCCCTACTGTCAAAACAATTGAAAGCGATAAAAGTTACTTTCAATTTAACAAACCTCTCTTCCTAAAACAACTGTTCTTGGTTTCATCTCAATTTTTCCCATTAGTCTATCAAAGCAGCTGTGCAGGAAAAAATAATACATGTAACAGAGTTCAGCAACATCACGGCATAAGTTCAAGGCTGACGTGCTCTAGCAGGACGTTATATGTCGTTATACAATAATGCTATGCGCCCTGTGATTGGTCATTGCCCATAATCTATTAGAGTACAGATACATGGATGACGTCACAGGAAAATTTCTTTTCTTTGTTTTGCTCAACATGGCACGTGGTTTTGAAAATGTTTGTGAGATTATTTCGGATAAAACAAGTGAAAGCCTCCAAAAAAGTTTAGCAGGAGCCATTTACAAAGAAGAAAAATGAAGAAACGGAAACAAAAAGAGTTCTTTACAACTTGAGAATGCCTAAAGTGAAAGAAAACTTCACAACGTACAATTACCACAGTATGTCATCACTATGAGAGACTTGCAGATAATTTGCAAAGCGTTTTTGCGATTATAATTCTACTTTGAGTGAGTGAAGGCATTAAAAAACTTTTTCGAGAAACTGTGTAAAGAAGTAAAGAAGAACAGAGACAAAAAGCAGCGTTTGGGACTTAAAAATGCCTAAACTAACACAAGCCCTCAAACAGCCAAGCATTACGAGGCAAGTATGTGTAAATCGTTTTTTCTTCTCTCTTCACTGTATAAAACAAATAGATTCCATGCTGCTATAAGTCTGTTCAGTAATAGACCATGGAAGAAGTCAAAGTGCAGTAAAAACATCAGTGACACACTCATCTGTGGCTCATGCAATCATGTGCCACTTCTTTTTTTTTTTACCACATTTTGACGTCATCTGTGATCTATTACTGAACAAACCCATGACAATGTGGAATCTACTTGTTAAATAGACATTGATCATGAAAAAGCTAGTCGATATTGGTTGATAGTGCTAGATAAATGTCAATAATTGTCAATTGATTGGTTTAATTCGTCGATAAAAGTTGATAATCACAATGTTCTCAAGATAGATAATCAATTGATAGACTTCTTGGACTTTTCAGAAAATATCTGCTGAGGATTTATGCGAACTTAACATGAAAGTTGCGTAAGGAGAAGGATTTGGATGTTACCAATTCTTTGAATGCACAAGAATGCTACTCAGTTACAAATGAATATACATTGTAAAATCTATTCGAACAAATGTTGCAAAAGCTCAAGTAGACTTTCAAGAAAATCCTGTGTACAAGTTAAAAATGGCGCAAAACTTTTTGAATGGATGTTAATAATTTGCTTACGGATATTGAAACTGTTGCCTCTGATCCTTTACGTCTACCAATAGTTTTCAGATAAAAATCAAACTCAAACACCAATTTTGATAGCAGTCGATAATCACAGGAAATTTTATGATTTACTTTTATCGATTTCAGATATCTGTTGATTGGTCAGTATTGACCATTACCAACAACAAATTCGATTTAAATCAAATATTAAAATTATCGACATGTAGCGTCCTAGCCCTAGCAGCAGTTCAGGGCAGAGAGCTCCCTTCTATTTTTCTTAGAACACAGACTTGAGGTCTGTTAGTTCCCTTGATTTTTATAGTGCTGCTATCTCCACCAGAGTAAAAAAAAATTTATTGCGTTGCCCTCAGCAGAGACTGGTCTTCAATGATGTCAAACTGTCAGGGACTACAAATTAAGAGCCAATGCACAGAAAAATCGAGCAAAATCGGCAAATCGTGGCCACAGCTCAAAACCTAACTTACCCTCATTTTCAGTCTGTAATAAGGTTTTAATGAGTTTATAACACTGCTGAGGTTTAAATTTCAAAATGCGGCCGAGTTTGGGAATTATTTAAGATTTTCGATTTCAACGGTCCGCGGGCCTAAAATTAGCCGCCGAACACGGCAATATAGCCTAGCGACAGAAATGAGCTGACTTTCATAAACGAGCGAATATATTGGCAATCTTCCGCTTAAATCTCAAAAAGCAGATATCTAACAATTTCTGAACGGCACATTTTTTAGATTTAGAGCATAAAATATCGACGAACCAGCAGAATTTTGAAACGTAATTTGCATAATGCTTATAAATACAACAATTTACCGCTAAAACCAAAATCGAATTTTCTATATGGGGGAATTCTCCAAATCACCCCAAATCCCGGTTACTACCTAATGAGATATAGTACTTCAACATTATCTGAAAGTTAGTCTGGTGTTTTCGCGAACGCTTGTAAAATAGATTGATTATTTTGAGGTTATTTTGCCCCAAACAACCGCTAATTGACCCCAGGGTCAGTTGACACGTGCACGTCACCTTAGTTTTATGCATCGATTTGAGCTCGTTAAAAGGGAGAAACTAACAAGATTCTTTTAATATGTACCTGTTTTAATGAAATACACGCAATCTTCAAAAGGAGAGGCCGTTCAACGGGTAATTTCTGTTCTTGAGATCTTGTAGATTGTACCATGGCGTCTGCGAGTGGACCTGAGTCTAGGTCTGTTTTCCCGTGACTGCGAAATCACAATAACGTCAAGAAATAATTTTCCCTCGAATCTTCGTAAGTGAATCAGCTTTGCAGTGCCTTACCTGAGATAAAAAGTGGGTCGAATAGCAAAACAATTCTAGCGCAATTTGGATCCTTTGTGGAACGCAGTGTATTGCTGAGCGAAAGGTGAGTAAACAAACGTAGGAAAGTACGTTACCCTTGATTGCGTGACCGGCCAGTAAACGATAGTCTCCAGCGAAAAATAGGATTCGCAAAAATCTTGCTGATGTATATTTAACAGTTTTTTACTATAAATTTACACCTGGTTTGTCTAAAACTTTAAACAATGCATATCTGTCCAAGAGTATAAGAATGTTTCGAAAGATCCACCCCTAAATAACTGTGGGCTACTCCTTTTTCCCCATCACCGATGTGCACTTCCTTCCCACTGTCTTTTGCATGAGGCTTGTATGCCTTTTTAACTGTTATCGACACTTAAAACTGGCCGTTTAAGGCCTGGTTTAAGAACGTGACTGACTTTAAAAACCGTCGCGAACATGCGCTATTATTGTTGGACTTTGGAAGCTTTAAGCCCAAAATGACGGTGCAATCTCGAGAAATTTGCCCGGGTCTAATTTTAAGACAGGGAACCGTACTAAGAAAGGGACGGTCTCATTTAGCAACCCGTGGACAATCTGGGCATGCTTGCCTTCTCTCGCAGGGGCAACCTTTAAGGCCAGGTACGCCGCCCCACCCGAGAGGATTGCACGGCATCCACCATTTCAGTCGCTTTTTTTACATCATGACCTTCAATTATTATGAATTATAATGCGGGCCTTGATCGTTGCCACCTTACCAGAAGTCTAATCTTCGCACTGTTAGACCATGAGAATCTCTATTATTATTCCATAAATGCACCATTGACTTTTCCTTGCTCAGCTTCCGGTAAACCGATACTCCGAAGCAAAAATAGCTTTACAACGACTCTATCCAGGCCAGAACTCTTGATATCAACAAATATACCCCCTCTAAAGAGAGCAAACGTTCCCCGAACTATTCACTTGACCCACCCCATCCCTTCGTTAAGAAAAACTACGCACTCAGTTCACTGGACAAAACGCGCTCGTGAATATACCAAACTATAGCCGTTCATCCTACAAGCAATCTCAGTTTCAGCAGGCGTGGCCACGTTTCCAGTTGCTGTAAGATTAATTCGACACCTGGAACAGACACTGTAAACTGTCAGGACGAGAAAGTTTATAAAAGACTTAACAGGTGTGCGCGGCGGTTTCCTTTTCTTCCTTTCCTCCCACTGTAGCACTCAAATTCTGACCCTGATATTAATTCTAGTAGTAATTAATCGTTCCTGAGCCGATAGGCACAAGGATACCAGTTTCTTGCAAAATATGCGGTGACATCCGTTTGCTCATCCCCTTTTCTGCCTTCGGCCGCTGATTAGGTTTGGTTCTGTGCTTTGAAATAACTTTAGGAACGAACATGATACGTGAGGGGCGTGTCCGGCTAAGGGCAAGTGACTCTCGGTGGTGAAGACATGTACTGAGCTTGTCAGTATTTCGTAGCCTGTACCACGTCGCGAAAATAGAACAAGGCAAAGAAAAATAAGACGCCTTTCTTTCCCCAGCCCACGCAGGTTTTTCGCATTACTTTTTACTGCACAACTGATTCTACCTTTTCGAGCCGGAGCGAACATGGACGCCCTCCACTTCATTTTCGGCACCTGACTAAACGCAAGCGCTGACTTGTGCTCCTATGTTTCGTTTGCACTGAAGTAGCAGTATATGACCACGACAAACTTGCTGCTATCCTTGGTTTGAAACCGCAATGGGCAAGAACAATTTCTTGAAAAGAGCAAACTATTTCCTCCTTAGCAGACATGGAGAACAACTACTAGGACTTAAGCAATGCCATTGCTTAAGTCCTACTAGACTTGAAAAGAGAAAGCATGATGCTTTCTCTTTTTATGATTTACGGCTAAACAGTACAATTTCATGTAGCTTTTACGCAAAATTAAATACTTGGTTGTTTGCAGAATTGCATTTAACAACAAATTACAGAAATTTAACTAAGTTTAGATCTCATAGATAAGAATTGAACGGAAAAAACTTTTGGGGTAAAAAAAAAGTCAAAAAAAATGTTTGCTGGAAAATCACTTAATGGACATATATACAATAGCAGAGATATCATGCCTGTAATTTTCCGTTCAACGCACCTTATGAGAAGTCTGACTAATCCACTGGTAACCCATGCCTTAAAACCGCCTTGAACCTTAAAATTTAATCCATTTGCCTTTCATGCGTAGTGCAAATATATCTTCTAAACACTCCGGGGTTGGGGGTAAAATCAGAAGAACAGAACATTCAGTTACTGTACCATTTTTAAAAGTGGGACAGTATGTTTGCTAATCATCTTAGTTAAACGCTTTTAAAATAGGACAAAAGGACACCTGGGCATACAGGAAAATGAATTTACTGTATCCCGAAAGCTTTGGTTTCCCGTGCACTTATTTTTCGCAGGAGACAATCGATAATTGCCTGGTCACGCAATCGGAGGTGAGTAACTAATTAAAAGTCACTGATACCATCGCCGCTTAGCAAATACACTGCGTGCTGCAAAGGATCCAAATTGCGCTAGAATGTTTTCCTTTTCGGCCCACTTTTTATCTCAGGTAAGGCACTGCAAAGCGGATTCATTTACGAAGGTTCGAGCGAGAATTATTTCATGATGTTATTCTGATTTCGCAGTCACGGGAAAACAGACCTAGACTCAGGTCCACTCACAGACGCCATGGTACAATCTACAAGATCTCAAGAACAGACATTACCCATTGAACTGCCTCTCCTTTTGAAGATTGCTTGTATTTCATTAAAACAGGTACATATTAAAAAAACCTTGTTAGTTTCTCCCTTTTAACGAGCTCAAATCGATGCATAAAACTAAGGTGACGTGCACGTGTCAACTGACCCTGGGGTCAATTAGCGGTTGTTTGGGGCAAAATAACCTCAAAATAATCAATCTATTTTACAAGCGTTCGCGAGAACACCAGACTAACTTTCAGATAATGTTGAAGTACTATATCTCATTAGGTAGTAAGCGGGACTTGGGGTGATTTGGAGAATTCCCCCATATAGAAAATTCGATTTTGGTTTTAGCGGTAAATTGTTGTATTTATAAACATTATGCAAATTACGTTTCAAAATTGTGCTCGTTCGCCGATATTTTATGCTCTAAATCTAAAAAAATGTGCTGTTTAGAAATTGTTACTATCTGTTTTTTGAGATTTAAGCGGAAGATTGCCAATATATTCGCTCGTTTATGAAAGTCAGCTCATTTCTGTCGCTAGGCTATATTGCCGTGTTCGGCGGCTAATTTTAGGCCCGCGGACCGTTGAAATCGAAAATCTCAAATAATTCCCAAACTCGGCCGCATTTTGAAATTTAAACCTCAGCAGTGTTATAAACTCATTAAAACTTTATTACAGACTTAAAATGAGGGTAGGTTAGGTTTTGAGCTGTGGCCACGGTTTGCTCGATTTTCCTGTGCATTCGCTCTTAAAGTCTTTAGAGATATGCTTATATCCTTGACCAGCGTTTAGCGAGTAAAACATCAACTACCAAAGCGATATTGAAAAAAAAGAGCTAAGACCAAAATTAATTTCCAAATTAATTTAAATTTTAGCTCATTTCAATAAAATGGCTTGTTAATTAAGTTTAAATAATTATGAACTATGTTCATTTCGGCCTCATATGTCCCCCATATTTCATTTTGTGGCACCCTCAAGTGCAATCAATGGACAGCTAGTGATCAAAACAATAAATCAGTAACAAGTAATAAACAAAATCAGGCTATTCCATCGCATTTATGTTGATATTTTTGTGATCTTAGATGTATTTCTCACCTTCGACAGGAAGACAGAAATCCACAACAACACCAGAATTTAAAACAGCGTTTGCAGCAACCTTCCTTATCTCTCCTCCTTTTCCGCTTCTTCCTATCTTTAGCACCGACATCGGACTGATAACCCTCTGAGTAGCCTTCTTCATCGTCAAAACCGTCATCAACAACAACTGGCATCAGAGGTGTATCATCGTTAGTGGATCCGTAACCCGCTTCTTCTTCAGTGTTTGATCGCGTTTTCCCGTTGTTTCTCAACTTCCTGTAACCATTGGTGCCAAGATTATTAAGTGGGACTGCCTCGTACGGCATAGTCGACGAATAATCGGTGGATTCGACGTATAATCGGGTAGTTGAACTGGTAGTCATTTCATTTGAGCGCCATCTTAGCAAGTAGTTTCTGGAACCGCTGGTCAACAACACCCATTCTTGTGTGGGTAGGGAGGGAAGAGAAAATTCCCACAATCATTTTTTTTCCAGAATGTTATCAACATCTTGCACTATCCTGTTGTCAGTTTGCAACAAATATTTCAATAAGTATAAATGGAAGTAAATTGGTATACATGTTTTCAATATTTTGGTCAAAAACTGATACCACCGAATACCACCTTGTCCCAAAGAGTTTGACCCTCCCTAGCCTAGTAGTTCTATGGTATGACTATCGTGTATGCATCACTGATTTGGTACCACGTTGATTTGGTAACAGAAGTTAAAGAAAAGAATTGTTCAGCGCTGCTGACAATAAAATAGGTCAAGAGCCATCCTATTATGGCTCTTGAATAGGTAAACAAATAAAAAAATGATTACATAAATAAATAAATAGATACTGAATACTCAATCAATCCCTCGTGTGGGGCTATTTTTGGGAGGAGGGGTTGACTGTTTTAAGTGCCAGGGTTTTTGTTTTCTTTGCCTAGTTCTTGATTGTTCGCGGCGAGAGAGGTTTATCAAACCGTAAGCACGGGTTACTTTATGCTAGGTAGTGTATTTCGAGAAAGGATCTCTGGAGCCAGGGTAAGCACGTAAATAATCCTAGGGAAGGGGGACTCGACAGAGGGGAGGGCTTATATAATTTGTTCCCCTGAAAAAGGGGAGCCTTATGAGAGAGGAGGGTTTATTTGAGAGTAGGCTGCTTGGAGTCCGCCTTTTCTCTTAAAATCCGTCTAGTTCTTATCTCAGCCAGGGCGACTGCAAACAACGACGTTATGTTACAAAAAGGGATAAGGATTTTCTCTTCTCGGGCTTACGCCCTGGTTTATCGTGGCTCGCGTGCTTGGGTTTCTTGGCAGTAACTTTGCAAAGAAAAATAAGAGACTGCCAGCAGTCTAATTTGAGAACGGAAAGCTTAATAGAGGATTTTCGGTAAATAAATGAAATTAACCCTTTCTTCGAGCAACAACGGGGACATTTTTATAGCAAGTTGTAAAACCTTTTTGAGTGCGTAACTTTTAAGATGGTAAATTAGGCCTGTTTTGTTTTTTAGAAAATGTTTTCTTTACAAAGTCGGACCGACAAACCGTTATGTGTAAGCTACCCTTAACATTATACATCGCAATAGACGCATGATGCGGTCTTATCCGTCTGGACGAGTAATCTGTCCTCTAGTTTAAAAACGGCCAATAGAGAGATTAAGATTCACGGATTCACGTTTACGACAGACGGTAAACGTGAATTTGTACCACGTGACCAAGTTTTCCGCTTATTTTTCGTTTACTGTTTATTGCTTCGACACAAAAATAAGTAGTCTTATACATAACAATCCTTCTGGACTGTTTTTATCTGCTTATTTTCTATTCTGAGAAATTCTCAACTTGAATGCGCCTTTTGTCGTTTGCTGTAAACGTGAATCTTAATCTCTCTAATGTCTGATACTTAGTAACGTTAACTGCAAATTATACAAAAGATGTCCCGTAACGAAGCTCTGAACGAGAAAAAACACGCCACAAGCCGAGAAACAACTGACTGAGTACCATTTCTATAACCCAGCTCTACCTAACATTCAGGACATACTCTGCAAGAAACAAGCCATTCTACACTGAGGGGGACATGGGGGTTTACGGTATTGCGGTATTGGGCTTTTTTTCATGCGGTATCTCGGTAATTTTAATTTTAACGTGCGGTATTGCGGTATCATCTAGCTCTGCGGTATGCGGTTTTTCATGATTTTGGCTGACGGTATTCGGTGAAATAAGATTGTTCACGGTATTACGGTACCGTTTATTTGCGCTTTCCTTTCGATACAATACGCAAAACAAAACACAGTAAGACATAAAGGTCAATAAAAGTTAATATTTAGAAGTCTTGAGACATAACGGTAAATGATTACACCATTTGTGGGTCATTTTGTGACAGTTAATGGTCGATAATATACAATGTGATTGTTGTTGCATCCAATGATAATGAGTCGTCTCAAGTTAACTTACCAGGCTTGTCGATCTGTTTACCTGTGCCGGTATAATTCGAGGTTTTAAACGTTTTCTCACAATGTCTGAGGTCGCTGAGGTTGAAGACGGCGTGGTCACCATTGACTGTGTGGCAATTTTTTATGAAGAGGGCGAAGGAGGCGAACATTATCGCAACAAGAAGATATTTAGAAGTTTAGAAGTTTAGATATTGGGTTTCGAGAATTGAAAAACGCCTTGTAAAGTTAAAAGAGAAAATTTGGTAATTTTGCCTCTTAACAGCGCGGCGTCATCCTCGGAGACCCAGGGGCAGATAAAGGGGGCGAGGGAATGTCTAAACGGGCGGAAAAATATATATGGAACGAAGAAAAGTAAAGAACGGCGAGAAGAGCCCCTAGGGACAATATCTTACCAGACCAGTTCCAAATGGTCGCCGCCGGTCTGGCTTCTAATTGGTGCTAGAAAACTTGTGTTTTTCTGGCACCAATCAGAAGACAAAAAGCCAGAACGAGAGTCCGACGTGCTAGACTAGACTCACTTTATATCAAAACTCGCACTAGACGTGCGTGGAAAGGGTTTTGGTTCGTTTGTTTTTCGCGCTTTCAAGAGTTATTTTTATTGGAGTTAATTAGCTGTTGGGTCGAAATACCGAAAGACTGAACGAATGTAGTTTACTTTTCAGTGAAAATGTGCGGAAAATTGCGAACTACCAAAATATTAAAAAAAACATGGACATCTGGTGCATAAATGCCTGAGATAATTAAACGCGCTACATGGAAGCAACCATAAGTATGAAGAACCGATTATAAATGTGATTAAAATATGGGGTATCGGTATTTAGACAATTTTCGACGCGGTATTTCGGTATTTGCCATTTTTTCTTACGGTATTGCGGTATTGGGTACCCCCCAATGTCCCCCTCTACACTCTACCGAACGTTTGAGAAACATTTTCCAAGAGGTACCTGTCGTCGCTTTCTGCCGGTTCCCCGATCCTTCGTGACCTACTCGTTCATGCAAAACTCACGTGAACACCGACAACTGACATCCAAGCTCCCTGCTGACACTTTCCCCTTCAATTCCAGTCACGGCTGGCTCAACTGCCTCGGGTGGGGGTACTGCCATATATGGGCTATATAGGTAAGTGCCGCTGCGAAGGGTATGGTTTTCAAGCAGTTAACTCTGGGTGTGCCTCATTATGACAAGAAAAGAAACCCCTCAATCAGCCCTTTGCCGTAGTGCAAGCCTGCATTCAGTTCTGTTTTATGTTACACTTTAAGTGACGTCTGACTACAGCATAAGTTATATTTACGTGTTGCGTGGACCTCTGCATTCAAACAGTTTTTTCGTATTTCAAACTCATCAGCAAATAACCAAGTTTAGGCTCCACAGTGATTTCGGGGTACCCGATAAAAAAAAATGGTGTCAGTCAGCCGTTTGAAAACAATGAAGTCACTCAAACAAGAAAAGGTGCTATAAAGTCGATCTTTTTCCGCAGTACCAATGCCGACTCTTAGTAATAAACTTTCAAACACTCAACCAGTTATTCTGAGAATAAAATGTTAAGGCACCAGAATATATTGTCCTGAAAATATGTACGTGAGCTACAAATTTTAAATTTTGGCTTGTACGCTATGGTTTATGGACGGAATGGTGGACGAGGAACAAATTAGACAAAGCCTCGAACAGAACCATTAGATGCCTTTCAGTTAATATGAGCTTTTCCGTCGATATCTCTGACCATATTAATTATTTGTTTTATTTATTTAAGTTACCAGTTAACGAAGTTTTTCTTTTACTCGGGCTTCATGAGGGGATAAAGCCCGGGGGGTACTCGCAGAAAAATTGGGTAGGGGTGTGCGGCCCGCTTCCCAAAACCCTTACCCTATTTATGACCAAAATCTGCGATTTCCCCTACCCTATTTATGACCTAACCAAAAATTTGATACCATATTTTGTGAAGGGCCGCGTTTGTTGCTTGTATTTTCTAGCCTACAAACAGCCGGTGGAGAGGAAGGCAAAGCGCGGATGGAAGGAGGGGGACATGATAAGGAAGTGGCTTCTTCTAAAAAAGTGCATTCAAGACTACAGTGCAAAAATCGTTACCCTATTTATGACCAAAATGGCGGCAAAATAGGCAAAATCGATACCCAATTTATGACCAAAACGGCTGAAAAACCCTACCCTTTGGGGCCGCACATACCTATGTAGCCCATATTAGGGAGTACCCCCCCCGGGATAAAGCTTTATTCAATGCGCGTTCTCACGGCTTTTTAATCGTTTGGTGTCCCGCTAAGTAAAAAAATGTCACACCGGAAATTTACCAAAAAAAAAGGGGAGAAACAAAAGCACTATTGTCTTTCAAAAATGCAACCTGAACGGCAAAGTTTAATACGTATATAAATCAGAGAGTTTGGGTAGAGCATCATGTTCCAGGAAACTGATCAATTGGTTGAAGAGTTTATTCTAGACTTGAGAAACCGGAAATTGCCACCCAAAAATATAAAAACATCAAATCGGTTTTGTTTTGGCTGCACTGTGCTGGTGACCTCAGTTGTTTCTGAAAAACAGCTACTCTAGGATAGGGGTGGGGATTTGTGGAGTTTACTCTAGTATAGGGTAGCAAGATGCAGCTGAACTAGCTCTGCTATAAGGGTTCCAGAGTCCCAGCGGCACATCCCACCCAAAAATTCCTAAAGTAACTCCCCCCCTCCCCGCCCGGGGTTCACCTGCCCATACATACCATGGAAGAACGTCATACACTTTTACCAACACGGGAGACACAAGACAAATAAAACATCACATTACTTGTGACTCAACAAAACTAACATATATGATGACTGAGTCATTACTGTTTGTGCATGGTGTAGAAAACAATACCATTGGTGAAATTAGCGGGACGCACGCTCCGTGAACGTTTTAAAAAAACATAGACAGGCAACAAAAAATCCACTCCACGCTACCACCA